GCCCCCACCGCCTCCATATCCTGGACCCATGGAGCCACCCGTTGGTGGCCCTGATGTACCATCTACTCCTGCAGGTAAGGGACCCATTGTGCCCCAGACGCAGCTCAGACATGCTAGCAGTGCTGGGGCATTGTTCCCCAGTAGGAGGGTACATCTTCCAGGTATTTCTAGAGAACCCTAGAAGGTGGGAAAGAACCTGACAAAGTAAAAGTAGACGTCCCCCGCCCCCCTCTCTGTGATTGAGTGCGACCTCTCGAGGACCAGTGGACCCCTGAGATCAGTAATTCCCAGGGTATCCAGCTCCAGCTTCACTGTGTCAGGTGGAGTTGGGTGGAGTGGAAGGGAAGGGCTACCAGCAACTGCTTCTACATTAAAATCAGTGAAGCTTAGAGGAACTATTGACCCCACTTTTGTAGGAGCTCCTTCCCTTGGAGAAGGGAGAGGATGATAACCCAGTCATGCTTGGGATATGTGTGTGTTTCTTTTTAGCCGAAGCAAAAGCTGCCGAAGCTGCTGCCAGCGCCTACTACAACCCTGTCAATCCCCATAATGTCTACATGCCCACGGTGAGTGTGGGGTGGGGGGAGGGTTGGAGGGCAGCAGCCTCTCTGGGTAAACCACTAGCTAGAAACCATTGTGGGAGGGTTAGGGGAAGGAGATCATTTGAAGTTTCTTCTATACTCTTGGAGTTGGTCCCATTTCTTTTTTTCTTCTCTTTAGGACCAGCCCCCACCACCTCCATACTACCCCCCAGAAGACAAGAAGACCCAGTAGATGCACCTGCAGTCTCCTCATCACTCACCTGCTCCCTTATTCCCCCAGAGCTGAGTTTGGAGTTGGTGGGGAAGCTTTTGTCAAACCTGGCCTTTCCTCTAGGCCTGTGTGTAGTTAGCAGTAACAGGCACGAAGAGAAGGGGGGGGGGTAGCCTGGGAGAGTTCCATGAGACATTGACACCTCTCCTCCACCTTCGTCAGTGGGATTTTCCACTCAAGTTGCCATTTCCATTTTACTCCTGTTGCATTAACACAGTTTCCCATAAAGGAGGGGACTGTTCCTGACCAGCTCCTCAGCTCCTACCCAGCACTCTTATTTTGTAATTCATTTTGGACTGTGTTTGTGGCTCCTCCCAGCCCAGATCAGCAGAGGTATCTATCTTCCAGACCCGGGAAGGTGGCTTGAACTCATCCCCACAAGGGTCCCCTTCTAGTCCCTCCCAGCATTCCATCCCCACCCTAAACTCTCTCCAGCTGTGAAGTCCATAAGACTGGGTGGTGGCATGCCCTCGAGAGTCCCATCTTTTCCATTCCCATCCCTTTTGGGGTGTCACACCTGTTCATACTCCTACTAGCTTTACTTTTATATCCCCACCACTTTGTTGTGGTTTTTGATCGTGAGACTGCAATACCTAGGACTGGTGGAGGGAGAATAAAGGGAAGACTGTTCAGCTTCAGAGGAGAACATACAAATGACTGCTTGACTTTGCTCCCTTGTATTCCTAACTCATGCTTCTGGGGGGTCTTGAGGTTCCCTCCTGTGCCCAGAGGGGCTGCCTAGGCCCAGCGCTGAAGATTGCACGTCTTATCTCACCCTCCTTAGGGCTCCTGGCTAGGTGGAAATTGGGTGTACCTGGGGCCAAGTGTTCCATGAATCTTGGGGCCTGGCTTAGTCCTGAGTAAAAAGGTGTCCGTTGTCAGTCCCAATTCAGTTATCATCTCTTCACTTTAAGCTTCATGCCTGATTGGTGATTCTTCCCTGGATGCAGTAATTTCCTTTGATTTCCTCTTGGACTGACCAGAGTGTGAGAAGATCATTATTTAAAAGAGAACTCCCTATTTATTTGAACAAAAATCCAGTTAATATATTAATGTGAAATAAACCCTGTTGCACCTTGATTTGTTTGCCAAAACTGACCTAGTAAAGATGAAGTAGCTTGACCTTCCTGTCTACCTGTGTGTGTGATGCCTGAGCGAGGATCCCTGACCTACCTGGGGCCATGTATTAGGAGCTCCAGGGAGCCTGGGTGAGTCCTCCTCTGTGGGAAGTGCCAGTTCTCACCAGGCTTCATGCTGTCACCTTTCCTCTCTGTTGCTCCAGGATTGAGCCCTGCTTTTGATCCAAAATGGCCCAGCTCAGAAAATGCCCCAAGCAGAAGTCTGTAAGAGCCAAGGGCTGAAGAATTGTGGGAGCATTACAGTTTGTCTTCTAGATAATCCTTTCTTCCTTTTGCAATATAATCCCAGGCTGAGAGCTATCAATGAAAAAACGTTGAATGCAGCTGTGGATGTGGTTTGGGCTAAAGAAAGCCAGTCTGCTTGTTCCTCATCTAATGTACTTTGGACTCCTAAGTGGAATTAAATTCTCAGGCACAATCCTTCTGCCCCTCTGTGAGGTTCATTAGTTACAGAGGGCTTTGCAGTATAACAGGACCATGGGGCTCTGGGCTGTTAATGTGGCCAATTCACCAAATCTCTGTAGACTTATGTTAATGTCCAGCTCTCTGAAAACTGCTCAGCCCTGTGTGTACTGTAACTTCCCTACTCCCATAAACTTAATTCCTTGTCTTTGAGCATAGGGCATGCCAAAAGTCCTGGACTTCAGAGTTGCACCCTAGCTGCCAGATCTGTGCTGCCTATGCTGACATCCCTGGGACATGGGGTATGGGGGATGGTACACAGACTTGCACTGCCGTCCTTCTCCTGGACTTAGTGCTTCCATAATCTTGTGGGTGGGTATCTGGAAGGTTATATTCCCCTCGTCACCCCCAACTTGGATTAGAAGCCCAGCCTGGGGATTTGTGCCATGGGAGATGGCCAAGATTAGTCAGGATTGAGGCAAGAGCTGCCCTCCCACCATGGTAAATGGTCCTGTCATTCTCTTGCATACACCATATCTCATCAGTTTTTTCCAAGGCTGACTGTTACTTCTCTAACAACCCCAGACATCTAGGGCCAGAAACAGGAGTTGGCACATTCTTTGCAATTTTCAGACCTTCCCTTTGTCACCATTAAGAATCCCTTCAACTTGTTTGAACTGGCAGCTGAAGAAATCAAAGCTATCAATAATCATGAAAAAGTGCTCTCAATCACTATTTAAAGAAATGCAAATTAAGACAACCTAGGTACCACCTCACACCTAGCAAATTGACTGGCTACCATGAGGGATGAGGAAAATGACAAATGCTGGAGAGGATGGGGAAAAATAGGGACACTAAGTGCACTATCAGTGGATCAGTGAACTGATTAGGCCATTCTAGAGAACAATTTGAAACTGCCCAAAGAGCTATAAAACTGCTTACCCTTTGACCCAGAAATACCGCTATTAGGTCTGTATCCCAAAGAGAGAAAAGGAAAAGGACCTATAGGTACAAAAATTTAACAGCTCTTTTGTTGTGGCAAAAAATCAGAAACTTAGGGATGCGTATTAATTGTGGAATGGCTAAACAAATTGTGGTATATGAATGTAATGGAATACAATTGCTCTATAAGCAATTATGAGTAGGCAGATTTCAGAAAAACCTGAAAAGACTTGTATGAACTGATGCTGAGTAAAGTAAGCAGAACCAGGAGAACATTGTACCCAGTAGCAGCAACATTTTATGATGATCAACTATGATGGACTTAGCTCTTCTCAGCAATGCAATGATCCAAGACAATTCCAAAACACTTGTGGTGGAAAATGCCACATCCCAGACTAAGAACTGTAGTCTAAATGCATATTGAAGCATATTATTTTCACTTTGTTGTTTTTTCTTTCTTGTGGTTTTTCCCTCTTGTTCTGATTCTCTTTCACAATGTGACTAATGTGGAAATATGTTTAACATGATTGTACATGTATAACCTATTTCAGATTGCTGTCTTGGGAAGGGAGGGAGGGAGAAAAATTTTAAAATCTTACAAAAATGAATATTAAGGGGCAGTTAGGTAGCACAGTGGATAGAACACTGGCCCTGGAGTCAGGAGGACCTGAGTTCAAATCCAGCCTCAGACACTTGACACTTACTAGCTGTGTGACCCTGGGCAAGTCACTTAACCCCAATCCAAAAAAAAAAGAATGTTGAAAACTATCTTTACATGCAATTGAATAAAATAAAATAAATTGAACTAAAAAAAAGAAATGACAGAAAAACCTGGAAAGACTATATGAACTGATGCAAAGTGAAGTGAGCAGAACCAGGAACACACTGTACACAGTAACAGTAATATTGTAGCAATGAGCAACTGTAAAAGACTAATCAATACAATGATCCAAGACAATTCCAAAGGACTCATGAAAAATGCTATCCACCTCCAAAGAGAGAACTGATGAACTCTGAGTGCTTTTCTCCCACTTTCTTCATTTTTCCTGGGTTTTTTTTGGGGGGGGTTGTTTGTTTTTTGTAACATGCAAATATGGAAATATATTTTGCATGATTTCACATATTAAAAAAAAAAGCCAAAAACCCTCTATCCTGTCCAGAGCCTTGCAGCAATTATCTATGGACTTTTAAGTCACTCTCCGTCCTCAAGAAGATCAGTGGCCTGCTCATGGTTGGCTTCCCCATAGCAATCACTATCTACTTCGAATACTCAGGCCCCTCAATTTCTCTACCCCTTCAACTCTCATGAACTTAGTCATCAGTTTACCATACTCTCACAAACACGTGGTCACATTAGCCTCTGCCCTCAACTCCAATGCATCTATCCCCGTACTAGACAGTACCTATACTAGGTTCCCAATGTATCTGGAAAGGGGAGGAAAAAAGGCAGACTGGGACACACCTATTAGTGCATTTGAAAGGGGAAAGTTGGCTTTGGGTGGGGCTGGGGTTAAGAACAAAGAAGATTTCTCTTTTGCTTCTTTGGGTGGAGCCAGGGGTATCACCCCAGTGGAATGTCAACATTCAGGCTAGGCTAGGTATAAAACTCCCAGGTATGCCCTGCACGTGGTTGTTAGTGTAGGGAGACCTACCTATTCTGGTAAGGTGCAGAGACTTCCCCCTCTCTCCTCAAGCAGTCCTGGGGCTTCTTGGAGCTAGTGAAACACTAGCTCCCAGGAGAACACCTGAAGGTCAGATCTGTGCTTCTCATCTCTAGACCATCCTCCCTGGATCCGTGTCTGATTTGTAGGGAAAGAAGGCTGGTTGGCCAAACACACCCAGACACCTACACTATAGGGTAGTGTGGCTAGACCTTCCCAAAGTGCCTTGCAGCAGATTACTTCCTACGAGGCCCAGCTTCTGACTCCTAGAAGAGGGAGGGACAGTCCAGAAGGAGGGATCCAGACTAGAGGAAGAAGAAAAGGACCTGAGGGCCCAACCTCTAGACGCAGGCATGGTGAAACCCAGTAAGGCCCTTCGACTTCCTTTCCTCTCTTCCTCCTTTCCCCGCCTCCTTCTCACCAAATACATCCAGCCTTACCCCACTTGGGGTGACGGTACCCTGAGCAGTTTTGCACAACCCAGTGTTACTGGCTAGTCTCTCCTATCAGAGAGAAAGAGAAGAAGTAGCCACCATGGCGACACCCCTCTCTCAACCCTTACGGCGTCTTCCTCTCTTGCGCCAGGCCATCAAGATAAGGCGCCAGAAGGCCAAAGGTCTTTTGCTGGAAACCCTCCCTCAAACTAATCAAGAGGTATGAAAAACTGTTGGGGGAAGAGGCTAGGCCAGGGTGGGAAGGAGGTGGAGCTTTGTGTGTGGACTAGGGTGCTGTGCTCAGATATGGATGATGCCCTGATATAAAATTTCCATTAGCTGGCTCCACCCCCATGGGCTCGGATTGAGGAGAGAAGGTCAGGGGATGAGAGGGGAGACAGAGGAAGAGAAGACTGATCTGTAGTCTCAGTCCCCATCCCTCCCTGCCCCTGCTCCCAGGCTCCAGGAAACAGTACTGGGTAACAGCTGAGTTCTCTTCCAAGGTGATGGCCCATTAGCAGAAGGGAAGCTTTGTCTGGGACTCCTTAATCCCAGTGAAGAAAGTTGGGAGAGAAAGGGCAGTGTTGGGAGCTGAGTTCTGCTCGTGGGTTCTCTAGTGCTTATTGGTGTTTTCTAAAACCTAGGACCCTAATTCCCCTAACGTGTGGCTGGAAGGGGGCCCTACAGTTCTGTAGCTGGACCAAGCAAAACCTGAGTAAATAGCCAGAGACTCCAAACCCCTCCCTGCCCATGCGAGAATGCCCTCCTTCCCCAGCTCTTTCTACCGCCTTAGCTTAAGAGCGGGCAGTGCCCTGGAGAGGAACACACCCAGGGGCTTGAGCTGGCTCATTCCATCCCTCAGCATATTTATCTCCCCAGCCTCCTCCCACCTAAGCTCCTGACTACTCCCAAGACTCACATTGTCCTCAGAAGGAGGCCTCACACTTCCGTTGCTGATGTGTTAGTAGGGCAGTACTTGAGGTTAGATAAGTAGTGTGGTTTCCTCTTGGGGTACGCTGGTGGGGAAGGGGGGGGCAGGGTGCAGAAAGGGGAACTGGGCAGAACAAAGCAGGCATATATCTCTAGCTTCTACAGAGTAGAGCTGAGGGCAGGCACCCCTGAAGCCCAATGGACCCTCACAGTGAGCCTCTCGAAGGCTTGAGGCATGGCCAGGCCAGTGAAGAGGTAGCTGGGCTCCTCTACCCTGACTTTGGCTTTGGCCCCTTCCTGGGAGGGGTGGAGATGGTGCCATTCAGGGAGGGGGGAGGAAGAAAAATCAACAGTTGTGTCGGCGGGTGAGTAGCACTAGGACCTCACGCTCCCTTCTTTGAAAGATTCTCACAGCTGCTGCCTGACAGGCCGTACCCTGGGCCAACCATTTCTCAGGCTGTATGGGAGGTGCTGACATCCTTTGGATAGCACTGGGTGGACCTTGTCTAATCCTTGTTATATCCAGCTCTTGCCATAGCACAGAGCTCACATGGTGGGTCTTCCTGTCCTTGTTCCCTAGATGGAAACTCCATCTCATCACTTCTCCCCAGAGGAGGTAAGAGCCAGGGGTGTAGAGAAAGGATAGGAGCCCTGAAGGAGAGCCCCAGGTCCTCTGGAGGCCCTTCTATAGCTGGGGGTAGAGGTGGACGGTACAGGTGGCATCAGGGGAAAGTCCATTTCAAAGGGTGCCTTGTTCCTGCTGTGGGCAATGGCTTCAGAGAGTTGGAACTGGGGATGGGTTGGAGGAACTAAGTTGGAAGTAATGTTCTGGGCTAGTTGGATTGGGGTCCTCAGGAATCCTATAAGGCGGAACCAGGGACCTCAGCCGCCTGCGGAGTATCTGAACTAGATTTCCTCGGTACTTTATAGCAGGCTCTGCTCTACGAGGAAGCTCTCTATACGGTCCTGCACCGGGTAGGCCAACCTGAGCCTAAACATGTGGCAGAATCCTCTGAGCTGCTGAGCTATCTACAGGAGGTGAGACATAAGACCCATTGTCCTTCCTTCTTTCCCAGTGTCTCCCTCTGCCGCCTGCACCCACCCATCCCCCCACCCTGGCCTTGGAACTTGTACATCACATCACCATACCAAAGTGATACAGACTCAAGGCTGTTTTTCCTCTTAGTCTCCTAATTCCCCTGTGGCTAATCCCCTGCCTCCACCATCTTCCCCCTCCCCTCCCTCTCTTCATGTCCTTGTTTTCCCTGGCCACCTTCCCCCAACCCCCTAGGCCTTTCACATGAAGCCCGAGGTACATCAACAGGTGCTCCGAAAAGTTCAGGATCTTGAGGTAAGGGAGGCAAGGGGGGTGGGAGAGGTGAAGCATCTGGGGGAGGGAGTTTGGGTGGCTCTAGCCATTTCCTGGTCTCAGCGCCTCCCCCTCGAACTCCCTCCTTCCAGAAGCCCTTGTTTTGCCTGAAGGTGACAGTAAAGCGGGCCAAAGGCATTCTTGGAAAGGATGTCAGTGGTGAGTTGAGAAGTGGGGGTCCTTCCTGTTCCCTTCTTTGGGGTCAAGGATCCTCTCCAAATGGGATGGGAGGAGATTGTCTAAGCCTTTTTCCCAAAACAGTCTGCAAACCCAAACCAAGAAAGTTATCTCTGTTTCTCCTTACCAGTTGCCAGGCCCTTATGAGCCTGGTTTTCATCTCTCACTCCTTCTTGTCCCTTTTGGGTTTCCCTGCTCTCCACCTCCACCCCAGAAAGAGACAGAGAGAGCAGATGTCCCCTCCCTGGCCAGATCTCTGCGACTTTAAATTAGGATTGAGGAAGGACTGAGCTTAAAGGTTGACTTTCTCTTCCTTCCTTCTCATTTCCTTCCTCCTCCTCATCTCTCCTTACCTGGTATCAGGGTACAGTGATCCCTATTGCCTGCTGGGCATTATCGAGCAGGGCGTGAGCGTGCCAGATGGCAGCCCAGGGCATCGGCGACGGCAGAAGGCCGTAGTGAAGAACACAATCCCTGAAGACCAGACCCATCGGACCCAGGTCATCAGCCAGACCCTCAACCCTGAGTGGGATGAGACTTTTTTCCTGTAAGTCGCTTTCCCCTCCTTCCCAAATCCCCGTGTCTGCTCTATCCTGCTGTAACCCTCGCTGGGCGCTCCATCTCTCCCCTCACCTTATTACTTACTGAGTGGGATGAAAGCAGTCTGGGGCTCTACTTCAGAGGTAGCCGTATGTTGTCTACCAAGCTCAGACAGCAAGTATGCACACAGTCCTCCAAAGGGACCAGTATCGTACTGAATGTTCAGAGCAAGTGTAAAGGAAAAAAAAACCTAAACCTAATCCCTGCCCTCGTGAAGCTTACAATCTTACATGGGTAATAGTTATTCAGATGTAGCAACATGGATATCAAGTGCCTTAATGGGGATGGGGGTGGGTGGGCGGTTCTTATCTAGGTGCCACCAGCAAAAGTTGTGGAAGTGGTTCTATGTAAAGAAAACCTTCCTAACATAGTGTAGGAGATCTCAGGTGGTCAGCCCTCACTGCCGCTCTTCAAGCAAAGCCTGCATTGTTAGGGTTGATGCAAAGAGGAGTCTTGTGCACTACCCACTGGACTAGATGGCCCCTGAGATGTGTTTCAGCTAAAAGTCTAGGATTCTGGGTCAGTTGAAGAATAGATTGAGTGAATCCAGAAAGGCTTCCCATAGGGGAAAGGCTTGAGCTCCATTTTAGAGGAAGGGCAAAAACTCAGAGGTGGGAGAAAGAGAAGGGGGCTTTAGGGAACAGGCAAGAAGGCAGTTTTGCTTTATTTTGTTTTCTTCTCAGAAAAAAAGGGTATGAACTAGAGGAGAGATAGAGATCAGAGCAGACAGGTAAAATGGGATCTCTTACCCACCCCCCCCTTCTCTGTCTCACAGGGAATTTGAGGATATCACCACTGCCAGTTTCCATTTGGACATGTGGTACGTATGTGAGGGCTGAGCACCGCCATGTTCTCGTGATTGCAAAGGGAGATTAAATCTACTACCAAATACGTGGACAGAATCTCAGATTTGGAAGGGACCTCAGACGTCATCTAATCTAACTCGTATCTGGCCAAGAATTCCTCCCATGACATGACTGACAAATTGGCTTTTTTTTTTCTTTTTGGTGAGGCAGTTGGGGTTAAGTGACTTGCCCAGGATCACACAGCTATTAAGTGTCAAGTGTCTGAGGTCGGATTTGAACTCAGGTCCTCCTGACTCCAAGGCCAGAGCTCTATCCACTGTGCCACCTAGCTGCCCCCAAACTGGCATTTTTGTTGCTGTTGTTGTTCAGTTGTTTTTCAGTCGTGTCCAATTCTTCATGACCCCATTTGGGGTTTTCTTGGCAAAGATACTGAAGTGGTTTGTCATTTCCTTCTCCAGCCCATTCTACAGATGAGGAAACTGAGGCAAACAAGGTGAAGTGACTTGCCCAGGGTCACACAACTACGAAGTGTCTGAGGCCAGATTTGAACTCAGGAAGATGAGTCTTCATGACTCCAGGCTTGGTGCTCCATCCACTGTGCCACCTAGCTGCCCAAAATTGGCATCTAGCTTTTAAAAAAAATCCCGTTTGGTGTTCAAGGCCCTTCCTAAACTCCCCCTCACCCTTTCCGGTATTGTTACACCTTACACTCTCCCACATATTCTTCAATCCAGGGTCACTGGCCTACTTGTTTCTCAGACAAGATAATCCATTTCCCTACTCTGGGCATTTTCCCTGGCTGTCCCCCAGGCCTGGAAAGTTCTCCTTCCTCATCTCTGCTTCCTGGCTTCCCTGGTTTCTTTCCAGCTCCAGCTAAAGTCCCACCTTCTACAAGCCTTTCCTGATTCCCCCTTAATTCTAGGGCCTTTCCTTTGTTCATTATTTCCAGTCTATCCTGTATATATCCTCTTTATACATAGTTTTTGCATGTTGTCTCTTCCATTAGACTGTGAGTACCTTAAGAACAAAGATTTGTCTTTTACCTCTCTCTGTATCCTCAGCACTTAGTACAGTGCCTGGCATATAGTAGGTGCTTACTAAATGCTTATGGACCAATCAAAGATTCTATTAAAGGGAAACCCACTCCCCTAGAAGGTAGGCCATTCCATACTTTGGATAGCTCTAATTGTTGGGAAGACTTAAATCAAGACAGAATCTTCCTCTGCAGCTTTTGTCCTAATTCTACTTTGAGTACCATCAGGGTAAGAGCAATCCCTCTTCTCTAAGAATGACTATCTAGTAACTGAAGGTAGTCATCGTGTGAGAGGCAGCCTGGCTTTGTGGATACTGACCTTGACTTAGAGGGCAGGAATCACTCCAGGTTCAAATCCTCCTTCAGACACTTACTAGCTGCTTGACCTCAGCCGAATCATTTATCCTCTCTGGGCCTCAGTTTCTTCATTTGTAAAATAAGGGCGTCTCAATGGGCGTCTAAGTTTCCTTTCAGCTCTAGATCGATGATCCTATATTCCCTTGGTTTCCCTCTTCTGGATGGTCTCCAACTTGTGCTTAAAATGCAGTGTACAGATTCAAACCCAGTACTTGAGATACGGTTGGACCAGGGCAGAGTATCTCTCTAGTTGTGGGTACTGCCTCTCTCAGTGCAGCCTAAGATCACCCGAGCTTTGGGTGCTGACAAATGTTAACTCCTACTGATCTTGTAAGCCACTAGAATCCCCAGATCTTTCACAAGGACTGTTGTCTTACCATGCCTTCCCCATCTTGTGCTTGTGAGGTTGTTTTTAAATTCAAATGTAGGACTTCATTTGTAGGACCTCTAAACGTTAATCTTTACAGATGCAGACTGCTGTTCTTATCCACGGGGGTCTTTTTGAATCCTGACCCTGTCATTCAATGTTGTGCCTATCCCTCACAGTTTCATGGTATCCGCAAATAAAGATAGGATGCTTTTACAAGAGAGGCCTCTCTCTGTCCCACACCCCTCGCCCCAGTATAGCTGAGGTCCCTCCACTGGTCCCTCTCACTCCACTGATTCTGTGACCTCCCTCTTCCCATAAGGGATGCAGACCAGGTGGAGTCTGTGAGGCAGAAACTGGGAGAGCTGACAGATTTGCATGGCCTCCGGAGGTAAGGCCCCCATGCTCCATGAGAAGGAAACATAGCCAAGGTGCATGTGCACAGGGAACGGGGCAGAGGCTTCTCTGGGGGGGACGGCCCGCCCCTATCCTGGCACTAGACCCAGCTAAGGACTTTTGAAGGGCCACAGCGGGGGTATCAGAACCCGGCCTGAATGCCACCTCACTCTCATCTGGGCCTTCCTGGCCCAGCCTACCCAGCTCCTTCCTCACTGGACCCCTCTCTCTGACTCAGGATCTTCAAGGAAGCCCGGAAGGACAAGGGACAGGATGACTTCTTGGGGAATGTGGTCCTGAGGCTGCAGGTGAGGTAGAAGGGTGGGGAGGTGGGGAGAACATCAGAGTGGTTCAGCCTGAAGGATGGACAAGATGTTGATACTTGAGGATGGGTGTGAGTAGTTCGTGGGCACTCGGCTTCCTTTAGAGGCTCAGACACTCAGCCACAGATCTGTCCTATGTCACCCTGTACTCACATCCATGTCCCCTCTTCCACATGTATGTCTTTGGGTCATCTGGCACCAGGGGCCCATGCCAGGGCATTCCTTATGTCCTAAGGGACAGGGCATGTGTTTCACATTCTCAGTATTCCTATGCCTGTGTGCCATGTAGCGATCAGTATTTACACCTGTCCGTATATTCCAATGTCCACCTGTGGAGTCATAACTAGGTGGGACAACTAGAGGTTTGCCCTAGGGCACTGATATCCACAGGTGCAAGCCTCTTCCCTAAGTCAATTCTCCAGCCAGTCATCTCAGAGCCACTTCTTTTCTGGGGTCCACCTACCCCTGCCTACTACTGTCCTTCACTCTCCCCACCCCCAACTGAATTTACCCCAGACACCAGAATTCCTAGTTAGCCATTTACCCATTTATATTTCTTCACATCCATCCATGTGCCCTTACACAGGATCTACGCTGCCGGGAGGATCAATGGTACCCACTGGAACCACGAACAGAGACTTACCCAGATCGAGGGCAGTGCCACCTGCAATTTCTACTCATTCATAAGCGAGTAAGTGGGACAGAAGGGTAGGCATCAGAAATCAGAGGTTGTTGGGGCCGGACCCGATACCCCTCTTCCTTTCTCTCTCTGGTGACTCACCTACAATGACCCAATGGGGGATAAAGACGGGGGGAAGTGCCCAGGCCTGTAGGTCAATCCTCTGCTCTGATGTCCATGGCCTGTTCTCCATTGTAGAGGGCCACCACTACCAGCCGAACCCATCCCAGTTACACCGTGCATCGTCACCTCCTTCAGCAGCTGGTGTCTCATGAGGTCACTCAGCACCAGGTACCCATGTAAGGGGAGAGGGAGGTGTTAAGGGACAGGGAGGGAGCTGGGAAGCCGGGGCAGAGAGGAATAGGTCCGAGGTATCCCAGAACGTCTTGTCTGCTAGCAAACAATCCCCAAGCAGCCTCAGAACGGGGTACCTCACACATACCTAAATACGGAGCTCCCTCCTTCTTACTTTACAGGCTGGTAGCACTTCCTGGGATGGAGAGCTGAGCCCCCAGGCCTCCACCATTCTCTTCCTCCATGCCACACAGAAAGACCTATCTGAATTTCACCAGTCTATGGCGTGAGTATTCCGAGAGGACTGTTCCCCAGTGCCACAAAGGCACCAGTGCTGACAGCACCCCTATCCTAGAGCCTAAAAGAAGACATTCTCCCTTTGTACCCTGTACCTGGGGCCTGTAGCTTTTTGGGCTGCGGTGGGGATTTGGGGAGGAAGGCAGCAGTCATTAATGAAGACCAGCATACATGATGACCAGTGCCCAGCTTTATGCAAGGCTGATGCTGTCTGTACCCGATGTAGGCAGTGGCTGGCCTATAGCCGACTCTACCAAAGTCTGGAGTTCCCGGGGAGCTGCCTGCTGCACCCCATCACTGCCATGGAGTATCAGTGGATACAGGGAAGGCTGAAACCAGAGCAGGTAGGACTCACGATGTGGGAGGAGAGGAAGGAATATTGGGAAGACAAGGATCCCTTTATAGTCATGTGGACAAGGAGGTACCTGGGCCCCCCAAATTGTGATGTCATAGCCTGGTGTTTCCCTCCTTCCCTCCCTTGGATTAACTCTTTCACCACTCCACTCTCCATAGTGCGAAGAACTGGCTGCCTCTTTCAACTCCCTACTGACCTATGGACTCTCCTTGATCCGGAGGTTCCGCTCCATATTCCCCCTCTCAGCCTCTGGCTCCCCAGCTCGTCTGCAGTCCCTCCTCAGGTCAGACGCCTCCCCATCTTTCTTATTTCCATCCTGGTCTCCAGGACCTAAAGCCCTATTTCCCTAGATTTGGAGTGGGTAAGAGGATTCTCTTCTTGGGTTGAGAAGAGAGGTAGTGGATGGAGAAGGAGAAGGAGTCAGATTGGGGATGTTCTACGTTGGGGAGACAGATAAGGGCTTGAAACACAAGCGTTGTGCATAAAGATCTGAGCCGAGGGTCAGGTAGGAGGCTGAGCCATCTGGGCAGGGGGGATGGGCATTTGGGACATAGGTCCTTCTTCTTCCCACACGTAGGGTCCTGATACAAATGTGTAAGATGAAGGCATTTGCAGAGCTGTGCCCTAATGGGGCACCCTTGTCTTCTCTGGTGACTGAAGTGCTGCGGGTATGTCTCTTACCCTGTCCCCCATCTCCTGACCTGATGGTGAGGGTGGGATGCCCATGGCTATCCAGTCACTGGCCACCAACCACGCTCCTCCTTGGGTAGGCTGACCCCTGTGGCCCAAAGTGTATGAGGGCCCTCCTTCCAGCTCCCGGTTTTTCCAGCCTACCCTCAGCACTTTGGCTTCTTTCTCTGGTGGGCTCCAGGGTTTGGTTTCCCAGGCCCCTGAGACAGATACTGATGGGTCCACCTCCCCACAGACAGGCACCCTCGAGTGGTTCCATATGAAACAGCAGCACCATCAGCCCATGGTCCAGGTAAAAGGCAGGGCATGGGGTCAGAAGTTTGGGAGGAATAGATTGGAATAAACAGGTTTCAGATCTTTTCCCCATTATTGATTTGCTCATTTTTTTTCCCCTCTCAATCCATACTCCTTTCTAGGACATGCAAGAAATGTGTAAGTCCATATTGAGCCTGGTTCTAGATGTCAGTGGGGATCTGCGTCAGTGTCAGAGAACCTGGAACAAAATCTTCAACAAGTAAGAGATGGCCAGAAAGGGACCTTGGGGTCTGGGCTGAGAGAGCAGGGGTTGGGGGCCTAGTTTCAGGGGATCTGAACTGAGGGAGGGAAGGGGCACCTGGACTGAACAGATTGGGAGCTGGGGGCCAGGGCTGTGAGAATTGGGAGCTAGAAGATGGGGTTCTGCGCTGTGAGATGAGAAGTGGAAGCTAGAAATCTGGAGGTCCAGGGTGGGTCCAGGGATAGGGATCGGGGAGCCAGAGCCATCACTAGGGCATGAAGGGATTTGACCCAGGGCCCTGAAACTTAGAGAGTCTATGGCATTTCTGCAGTAGCCACATTCTAAGTGAGTTGGTCTCATGCTGGCCTAACTCTGTTCCTTCCCTCCACATCCCACCTCAACCCTATCAACCCTATAGCAACTGTTTCCCAGAAACTTCCTGGCACAGTCCCAATCTCCTCATGGTGACCGAGATCTCTGTCTCTTCCTCACACCCCAAGTAGGGCAGTGTCCTGGCATCCAGTTCTGCCCTTCCCTCCATCCACCATGGATTTGTCTTTAAAAATGGATTTTTTGTCTGAATTTCCTACTGCTCTCCCTCCTTCCCCTTCCCCACTCCCACACATTTTGCAAAGCTTGCCCATGGACCTAAATCACTAGTTATGGCTCTGTGGGCAACCCAAGTTTGAGGGAAGTAGAAAGAATTGTCCTTAGAACTCAGGCTTGGGGCAGGGGAAAGAACATTAGGGAAGTGTGCCCAGCCTAACCTTCTCCCCCTCTAATTCCTTCTCTCTAGTACACTGAAGATTCAGTTTTTCTCCATGGCTTTCTTGGAACTGCAGAAGCTTGTGAGGCCCTTCTTTTCTCCCCTTTCCCTTCCTGGTGCCAAAAGAGACCCTGGAGAAAGGGAACAAACATTTATAAAGCACTTACTATAAGCCAGGCACTATGCTATGCATTTTATAAATATCTCATTTGATCCTCACAACCACCCTGGGAGATAGTTGCTATTATTATCCCTATTTTACAGTTGAGGAAACTGAGGCAGACAGACGTTAAGTGACTTGCCCACGATCACACAGCTAGGGAGTCTGAGGTCAGATTTAAACTCAGGTCTTCCTGACTCCAGGCACAGTACTCTGTCCACTGCACCACCTAGCTGCCTGGGGCCAGAGGGGGCACTACTAACCCTGGGATGCTATCACTGCCTGGCTTAACCCTGCACCAGGGCATTGCCCCCTCCTGACCCACAGCTCTTTCTCTCTGCAGGTGGCCCAGAGGGTAAAGGAACACATGGCGATGGTGGGTAGCGTCGTGTCCCCAGAGATAGGGGAGAGCTTATTCCAGCTCTATCTTAGCCTCAAGGAGCTCTATCAGCTGGTCCCCCCTCCTTCTGAGAGGTACCTGTGCTGAGTGGGAGGAGGGGATATATAGGGAAGAATGTACTTAAAAAGAGGTTACCCTGGCATAGTGGCTGTCTGGGGAGAGTCAAGGCATGCATGAGGGCACTAAGATACTCAGTTGCCCAGGGTAGCCCCTTCTCCCCTGGGCCTGCACCCACCTGTCGCTTCTCCCAGGGATGGGACTCTGGATCTGGATGGCTTCCACAAATGGTTCCTCCCAGCCATCCCTGCCTGGCTGCTGAAGACCTATAGCGTGGCATTGGCTCGGCTCCAGCGGGCAGTGCAGATGGACCAGGTAGGGTCTGAGAGTGGGGACGGATCATGGAGAGATTCCTCCTACACTGACTCTGCTCCAGTGGGCATAGTCTAAATGCTTATCCCCTGCTGCCAACAAAGAAGAACTTTCTGACCTAATTCCCATTTCTTTGCCAGATGTCATACCCATGGTAAATTTGGAGTTAACTGAGACATCTCTCCTTAGACTATTCATAATAATGCCAACTCACATTTATACAGTTTACTTTAAAGTTTATGAGATGCTTTAAATGTATTATTTATTTTGATCTTCATAACAACCCTTTAAGGTAGCTGCTATTACACTCATTTAATAGACAGGGAAACTGAGACTTGTAGAGGTCTTACTGATGAACCCACAGCTAGTTATCTGGAGAGCAATTGGAACCCAGGCCTGCCCAACTCTAGGTCCAATGCTATATTCTTTTTTTTCATGCCATCTCCTTTCTTCCCCTTTCTCCACCCCAAGTTGGTCCCTCTGGGTGAGCCGATCAAACATAGCACATCTGCTGTGGACCTGTCCACGTGCTTTGCCCAGATCAGCCACACTGCCCGACAGCTAGATTGGCCAGACCCCGAGGTTGCTTTCATGATCACAGTCAAGTTTGTTGAGGTATGTAGTGCGGGAGGGCCTTGTGCCGTTTTCCCACTGCCCCGATACCCAAAGATTCTCCAAATATTCCTGACCCTCCTATCTCTTCCACATTTCCCTCTTTGCGGATTCCCTTCATTATCTTCCCTCCCTGAGCAAATCTTCGGGGATTCTCCTCCTCCTCCTAACGTTTCATCCCTGCTCTTCCTCCCAAGCATCCTCACTCTGCTCTAAAGTCCAAAGTCTCTAGTGGCCTCTTGCGCCCCTTAAAATCCCTCCTCCTCTCCGCTCCCCCTGGGAGTGCCATGTTTCTGTATTCCCTTTCCCTTCCCCAATGACCATGATCCATCCCCAGGACACCTGTAAGCTGGCTCTGGTGTATTGTAGCCTAATCAAAGCTCGGGCCAAGGAACTCTCTGTCAACCAGAAAGACCAGGGACAGGCAGCTAATATGGTGAGCACCTGGTTTTCATGGGGGGTGGCACTGGGGAAATACATAGGGGTTGGGGAAGGATGGCTTAAGAAGTCTAGGGGAGGAGGTAACTGCAGCAATGTCTGGCTTGTGTGATCAGCTTGGTCCTGGGCAATACCACAGGCGCAGGGGGTGAGGGTCAGTGCCTTGGAACAAGCTGAGTCAAGGTCTTGCCCCAGCTGTGCGTGGTGGTGAATAACATGGAGCAGCTTCGGCTGGTGGTCCTGAAGCTCCCAACCCAACTGGCATGGAAAGACCTAGAACAGTGGGCAGGCGCCATCTTAGAGCCAGAACAGCTGCAGCATACGCTCCACGCCCAGCTACAGGGTGCCCTGGCTGGCCTGGACCACGAGATCCGAAGTGGTGTTCGGACCCTGGCTGAGCAGGTAACCTCCTGACACGGTCCCTCTGAACCTTCCCCTGCTCTTGGCCTCATTTCGACCACGCTCCTCAGCCTGACTTGATGACCTCATCCTTGATGACTCCTGACATGTCCCTGCCCTGTCTAGATCTCAGCCAACAACACTGTCCCCCCTGTCCCCTGTCTCCTGACTGACTTCCTGATCTCTTTGTGGTTGGCAGTTGGAGGCTGGCATTTCTAGACACATCCAGAAAATTGTGGGCACCAGTAAAGCCACCGTGCCTGAAGATGTGAGTCAGCCCTTTGGGCTAGGTGATTTTTATGGGAGTGTGAGGCATTGACTAGAGTCTTTATAGGTATATATTTCAAAGAATCATAGGACTGAAAACCAGAGGAGACCTTAAGAGATTTAGTCTACCCCCTCCTCACTGTACAAGTAAGGGAACTGAGGTCAGGGGCAACCAGGTGGCTCAGTGGATAGAGCACTGGCCCCAGAGGCAGAAAGACCTAAGTTCAAATCTGCTTTCAGACACTTACTAGCTGTGTGACCCTGGGCAAGTCACTTAACCCTAATTGCCTCAAAAAAGCCAAATCAAACTTGCCCAAAGTCACCTTAGTCTGAAACTCAGTTTTTTTTGACTTCGAACTAGTATACTCAATAACCTTACACAGGTTGTTGGGGGCGGGGATGCCTTCAACCATTCATCTGTGAATAAATTGCTCTCCCTCCCTAGGCCTCAGTCTTCTCCCCTGTCAAATGAGACAGTTGGCCTTAATGACCTCTGAGGTCCTGTTTAGCTGATATTCTGTGGTTCTGAGAGAGTCAGGTCAGGCTGGCAGTCAGGCCAGGGGATAATCTCAGCAGAGAAACAACTCTCTTCCTTTTTTTCCCCCCCTAGGCCATCCTACCTCTGATGAAATTTTTAGAGTCAGAGTTTCATTACATGAACAGGAACTTGGTGCAGGAAAACTTTAACAGGTTTGGATTTGTTCCCTGATCCCCATGGCAACACAGAACGGGCCTCGTCCCTTTCTGAGACAGACCTTCAGATACCTGAGGATGTCTCCTCTCCCAGGTCTTACCCTCTGCAGGTTAAACTTTGCCGGTCTCCTCAAATGATCTTCCTAGGATGGGGTCTTTGGAGCCCTCTCTGCCCTTCATGGGCAAGAGCTTGTCAATATTCTTTCCTGAAATGTGCCCTCTCTCCCCCGCAGCTGACCCAGGCAGAGAACCATGGGACAACATCCTGAGTCTGGGTGCTGTGTCTCTATTAATACCGCTTAAGATGGCATGAGGTTTTTTGTTTGTTTTGTTTAGCTGCCAGCTTGTGGGCCTGTAGTGAGCTTTTGGTCAGCGTGTATGTTTTTACATGTATTTCTGCCAAGTCAAGAATCTCCATACTATATTTATTCAGCTGAATTTTGGGATTTTCCATTCATCCTCATCAAACTTCCCCTTACTAGTTTGGTTCATTGTTATCAGCCGTACCTCCCAACTCTCTGTTATCCTATTTTCTATGTCTTCATCCAAGTCCTGATAAAAATACTGAGTGAAGTCAGTCTGTTAGGTCCCTTTTGTCCCTCCCCTTCCACCATACGGGCCTACCTACCTATCCCCAATATTAAACTATTTCCTATGAGGGACCCTATTCCCTCACCCTTAAAGTAAATGAGAGTTAAGGGAATAGAGAGTAGAAATAGGGAATAGGGTTGGAATTCATTCATTGAAATGACAGTACCTACTATGCGCACACTGTTAAGTGCTAGAGGTGCAATGACAAAAATTAAACATCCCTGCCCTCAAGGAGCTTATATTCTATTTAGTAAAACATTAGACACTCAAAAGACAAAATTGATTCAAAGTAATTGAACAAGGGTGGGGAGGGCACTGGCAATTCCAGGGATCAGAACAGGCTTCCTGTAGCAAGGAGCTCTTGAATTTTGAGGGAAGCCAGGGCTTCTAAGGGGAGGAGGGTGAGCCTCCCAGGTAAAGCACTGTTCAAAGGCACTGAAGGAAATGAACTGTTGTGTACAGAGAGTAGCAAGTGGGCTAATTGGGCTGAGATTGGGTGGAACCTGTGAAGGAGAGTAATGTTCAGTGAGCCTGGAAAGATAAGCAGGAACTGTGTAGGCCTTGAAATGCCAATTGAGTTTGTATTTTATCTCCTAGGCAAGTGGGAGCCACTGGGTTTTCTTGAGCAGGGTAGTGACATACTGAGACCTGTGCTTTAGGAATAGCAATTATGTACCTCTATGTAGAAAACGGATTGGACAGGGGATGGAGGTAGGGAGACCAGTTAGGAGGCTATTGCAATAGTCTAGGCAAGTGGCAATGTGTAGACCTGAAGTAGAGTGGTAACAGTATGACTAGAGAGGAATGTGATACAAGAGATATTGTGGGGGCAGATAGGTGGTGCAGTGGATAGAGCACTGGCCCTGGAGTTAGGAGTTCAAATTCAACCTCAGACACTGGGCAAATCACTTAACCTTGACTGCCTCCAGGGACACACACACACAGACACAGACACAGACACAGACACACACACACACACACACACACACACACACGATATTGTGGTCCTTGGAAAGTGACTGGATGTGAGGGATGAAGGAGAAGATAGAGGTAGAAATTATTCTAAGGTTAAGAGCCTGGATGACTGGAAAGACGGTGATGCCCTTAACAGAAACAGGGAAATTTGTAAGAGGAGATGTTTTTGGAGAAAAAAATGAGTTCTGTTTTGGACACCTCTGTCCCTGTCTTTTGCTCTCCTCTGGGTGTCCAGTCTCCTATTGCTGCTCTGGACTCACACACTCAGCGTGCTCACCCAAACAGCTGCGGCCCAGCAGAGTTCACTCCTTACCTCCCAAAAGCTGAAGACTGCCCTGCAGGTATGAGGGGTGAATGGGGTGAACAATGTTATCTTCAATGGGAAGGGGACTGGAGGGAAGGGAGGGAGGGAGGAGATTTCCAGGCAGTAATCATGGTTGTCTCAATGCCTAGAACCTTGAGCTCTGTTTTTATGGTGAGGGTTGTGGCCTGTCCCCCGAAGCCCTTCACACACCATCACTGCAGGTAAGGGCCCCATGGAGGGATGGGTGGAGAGATTAGTGGGGGGGAGGGGCAGGTATCTGTGCCTATGACTCTGTCTCCATCTGTGTCCCACATCTGATTTTACCCCTATTGATGTCCCCTTTCTTTTCTTTTTCTTTTTTGGCAAGGCAGTTGGGGTTAAGTGACTTGCCTAAGGTCACACAGCTTGTAAGTGCCAAGTGTCTGGTCTGAGACCGGATTTGAACTCAGGTCCTCCTGAATCCAGGGCCGGTGCTCTATCCACTGTGCCACCTAGCTGCCCTATCCCCTTTCTTCCTATGGCCCTCATCTGACGACGGCCCATCCGTGTCACCTTCTGACTGTCCCAGCCTCTTGTGTGACTGTGTCCCCTCTATTTACCATCCATCCATCTGTGCTTCTGACTCTTCCCTGCTGTTCTCTCCATTCCATCTCTCTGACCATCAGTATTTCTCTCCACATCCTTTTGCCTCCATTGGTTTCTTTGCCTGCGAGATGAGACGTTAGATGACCTTTAAACTCTCTTCATTTCATGGTCTATTATGACTTCCAGGATCTTCAGAGAAAGCTGGAACTGCAGGCATCCTCCAGTCAGGAACTCATTCAAAGATATTTCAGTAACCGCATCCAGCAACAGGTAAGGCTATTTCTTTTTGCCTGCTTCAACCTTGCACTGTCTACCCAGGAGAGGCTGGTCAGGATGCAAGGCTGTCCCATCTGTCTTGAATGTGCATGGTCGTGGGGAGTATGTGTGTTTGAGTCAGCCTGAAATGCTCCCCTCTTCCAAGCTTGTCCATTTCCAAAGGGAGCAGGTTTCTCTACCTTCCTCCTCGTGGGGTCCCACAGCGTACCCCCTATAACCCGGGACTGAGCCCCTGGAGCGGCCCATCCTCTCTACTACCTGTCTTGAACTCTCACCTGCTGCCACTGCTCATACCCCCTCCCTCCCAAAGGCGGACACCACGTCAGAAGACTTTGGGGCCATTACCATTAAGGCCTCCTATAGACTCTCAGAACAGAAGCTCCGGATCGAAGTTCTCAGCGCCTCCAACCTGCTACCCCTGGACTCCAATGGTGAGCAGGGAGGCAAAGCCAGGCACAGGGAAGGCAGCATGTTCCTTTGGACCTCTCATACAATAGTGATAAAGATTTATTAAGTATGTGCTGTATCCAGAGATCTGTGCTAGTGCCTGCAGAAGATACAAAATTTAGATAAGACACAGCCCCCAACCGCATGGAGTTTTCAGTCTAGTAGGAAGATAAGAGAAAAATATACTTCATCATGTCAAGGGTCCATGGGTTCATCAGTATGGAGATCTCATTTGAAAAAAAGAAATTTATAAGGGTAAATGCAAAGTCTTATACTTCACATTAAAAAAAATATCAACTTTGTAGGTATAGGATAGATCATAAGATCCATAGATTCAGAGCTGGAAAGGACCTGGGTGAGGTAGAGAGGACACAGGGAACGGTTCTTCCCCCTAAAGTCCAACCTCTTCGTTTTACACACAAGGAAATTAAGGCCCACAGAGGTTAAGCTACATGCTTAAGGTCACATAAGTGGTATGTGGCATAGGCAAGATTTGAACTCAGGTCTTTAGTTAGATATCAACTTGTCCAGAAAAGATATGGAAATTTTAGTGGACTCTAAGCTCAGAGTTCGTAGTATGACGTGGCAGCCAAAAAGTTTAAGGTGATCTCGAGCTAGGTTCATAAGGGAGGCATTTTGTTGTAATATTTCAGTCGTCCGACCCTTCATGACCCAACTCTTCAAGAACTCCTGGGGTCATATTTAGCACAGGAAGATGTAATATATAGAATTATATTCTATAATTGTATTAGAGAACTACAAAGCAAAGTGCATGGGGGCAGCTAGGTGGCACAGTGGATAGAGCACCGACCCTGAAGTCAGGAGGACCTGAGTTCAAATTTGACCTCAGGCACTTGACACTCAGTAGCTGTGTGACCCTGGGCAAGTCACTTAACCCTGAATGCCTCACCAAAAAAAAAAAAATATATACATATATTAATACAAAGCAAAGTGCTATGTGGAGTCTGAGGATAGAAGCCATTACTGCTCACAGAGGAAAGAAGGAGTGAAAATCAGGGAAGGCTTCTTGGTGGGGGTGGCATTTGAATTGGGCTTTAAAGGATAGGTGAAGAAGGGGAGGGGGGACAGACAATCCAGGCATAGGAGACAGAGCACAGAAGTGGGTTTTGTTTTATTTTTGGCTGGAGAAGGGTTTCTCCTCCCTGGAGGGCCTAGGGATTCTGCTATGTGTGGAAGCCAAAAGGCCACAATAAATTTAGGGTGGCCAGAACTATGGTCACTGGGGGATGTCAGGACTGCCCCAGCTAAACGAGGCCAAGTGGGGCCAAGGGGGAAGCGTGCTGGGATTGTGACAGGTTAAGGGAGAGGGCAGAGGTGATCCTTTCCCCACCCCCCACTTCCTCCCCCCAGGCACCAGTGATCCCTTTGTCCAGCTGACCCTGGAACCACGACATGAGTTTGCAGAGGTGGCCCCTCGGGAGACACAGAAGTTCAAAAAGGAGCTGCACCCCCTGTTTGATGAAGCCTTTGAGTTGTGAGTCACTGCCCTTCCCTAACACTTTGCATCCCACCTGTGCTTCCGCGAGATCTCCCTCCCCAGCCTAGATCAGCACTCTAGCCTTTCCATCCTTCCCTGAGCCTAATCACTCTCCAGGGCCCAAGCTGCTTTGGGATCCCTCCCCTGGGAAACAAACTCAGGGCTCCTCTCTCAGATGACTGGTGAGGACTTGGAGGGCAGGGAGAGAGCTTGTGATGGGGTGCATGAGTGAAGTTTGCAGTCCTGGGGGTCCCATTGCTGAAAGAGGAAAAACAACCTCACACCTTGAATTCACTACAGCAGAATCTATTAAATGAAGAAAAAAGGAATCTCTGGCTAAAAAGTCTTGGAGATAAAGGGTCAAAACTTCTGCTAGGCCCCCACATGTCCTACTGATCCCGTGACAAGCATCCAAAGTATACGCACACACCCCTCTATAGGGCCCTTTTCAGGCTTTTTGCATGGAAGGGCTGTTTCTCTGGTCCTTGTGAGGGGAGGGATGGTTTAGGAGTTCACTCACATGTGGCTGGTCTTCAGCTTGGTGTCTCCAGAGTCATTCCAGAAGAAAGGAAATTGCCTCTTGCTCACTGTGCTGGACCACGACAGGCTGGGGACTGATGACCTGGAGGGAGAGGCCTTCCTCCCTCTCAACGCTGTCCTGGAGCTCTCTGGGGACAATAATCCTGGCCAGGTGCCTCAGACACGTTTGCCTCTCACCTACCCTGCCTCTAATGGTATGCTATCTGCTTAGGGGAAGAGCTGGGGCTCCTGCAGAGGAGGCTGTGAGAAGGTGGGAGGGTTATTCATGCTGCAAGGATGGTCAGTACCTTGGCATGGGGCAGTGAAGCCCTGGCAGGAAATAAGAACAGGAAGCTTAGATTCTTCAGGTTTCTAACTCCTCCCATTTTTCTATCTTCTTTCCCAGGGGACCCTATCCTGAAGCTGCTGGACATCAGAAAGGGCGATCGGGAAGCTCAGGCTTTTGTTAAACTCCGAAGGCAGCGGGCCAAACAGGCTGAGCGTTTGGGACAGTAAAAATGGAAGGGACCTACATGGGCCCAGGGGTTGAGTTAGGTCTGGGATCTTCCCTTCATCCCCTACCAGAACAGATATTCCTAACCTGCCCAGCCCAGCACCCCTAAGCTCCTCAGTGATTAAGGGTTGACACTGATCACCCTTCAGGGGTTCAGAATGGCACAATCCAGAAGTCCACAGTGGTAATGACTAGAAGGGCTATGTATCCTCTGGAGATCCTTAGTCAGACCATTATGCCCTCACCACATCCTGGTTTTTTTCCTCTAGGGTCCCTAAGAGGAATGGGTAACAACTGTCCTCTGCTTTCCAGCTCAGAGACATTCTTCAAAACCAGGGAAACACTCTAGGGTAGAAATGGGGAGGGGAAAGACAAGAGTCTGTACTAGATTCTTACCCCTTCTCATAGAAAAAAAAAAAACTATTCTGGTTGAACTTAGTTCCAACAATTATGGTCAGAGTCACGCAATGTCAGAGCTAGAAGGCACCTCAGGAACCATCTAATCCAATCCCTTCATTTTATAGAGAAGGAAACTGAGGCTCAGGAAAAGGCTCACTTGCCCATAGTGAATGGCAGAGACAGAACAATATAATTCAACTCTGAGCCCAGTGTGTGAGCCTCTTCCCACCTGCTCAGTCCCTGAAGTATAGGAGACAGAGCCCTCATCAGTCTCAGGTTCCCCGGACCTTCGCTCCCTTGTGCCCAGCGGATTTGGAAGGGGAATTGACAGTTGGGGGGGGTGGAGTAGGATGCTGCTGCTTTGGTGACACACTGGGACTAACCCTGGGTAACAGAACAGGGAAGAGTTGGCTGGGACCAGAGCCTTGTCCGCTGGGCTCAGTGAGTAGATAGGACTCTGGTTGTGATGCGCCACTGGGGACTCCTAGGCTCCCTAGCTACAGCCAGAGTCCGAAGAGTACCAGGAACTCGAGAGCTGACTGACAGGTCATCAACTTAGAAGTCAAAGCCCTCCTCCTTCCCTCCCCCAGCACTGAGTTTTCTTTCTTCGGGAAACAATGAGAATATATTGTTCTCCCAGAAAATCCATTGCGCTCTCTGCGGTGGGATCTACGCGGCTCTAGCTGAGCTCAGGACATATGGTAAAGGGCCACCAACCTACCCTCCTCCAAGTTCACTCCAAAGCTGTTCTTCCCTCCCCACTGCTACGGCGGGCCTGTGGTGGGTGAGGATAGATGTGGAGTGAGAACGGAGGTGTAGAACAGGGTAGTTCTGTAGTCTTACTCTACTTGTCGGGGTAGGGCGCCGTTTCTGGAACTGTGATTGTTTGCTTTTAGAAAAAAAAAACTTTATCAGGTCATTTAATAGAAACATCTAATTCTGTCTCTTACTACTCTGGGATTTCTAGATGGAAACACTGTGCTTAGGGGTCTGAGTTTGTAGGCATGGGTCTGAAATTGTCATCACTGGGTTTGAGGCTACGAGTGTGTTATGATGAGTGGATTAGGGCCTTACTGCCCTGCGGGGTGTCTCTTGACAGAGCTGCGCCTCAGACTACCCAAGGGTACGGCCTTTGCCACAAGAAGGTGCCCACAGAAGTACTCCCATTATAGCCATATGAAATCCAGGAGAGTCTCCTAGCTTCAGTTGGGTTATTTGGTCTCAGAGATGTCTAGACGTCTAGTTGGGGTGGGGGGACCAACGTCCCTTGCTCTGCTCCAATTGGAGTACATTCGTGGAGCGCTGAAACCTGTGTGCTAGACGCTACTGAACATGAGTGGCTGAAAACCAAAGCAGTCCTTGGCTGTGTCAGGGACTGGCCACTCGAGCCAGAAGTGACCCACTCAGTAGATCTTAAAGGGAGTGACTTGACTCTGAGGCTCTCTTCCTATTTGCCAACTAGGTCAGGACTCTCTAAGCCTCTTGGAGTTGGGAGGCATGTGTCCGCCTTCCCTCCACCCCAGCAATATGGCAGCTGAGAGCAGACTGTAAACAGCATTCGTCCTCCTGGGGTGAGCCTGAACCTTGGCCTTGGGCTGCCTGTTCGGTTTCATTTCTTTTCCCGAGATTGAGCAGCAACATCCAGTTGGACATTCCCATCCTTGAAGACAACCGTGTGAGTTTTGAGAATTTGGGAGCTCCTTGGTCCTCGGCGGGAGAGAGCTGCACTTTGGTAGAAGTCCCTAACAAACACTTTGGGAGCCTAGCCCAGGGCCTGGCTTGCCAGAAGGCAGGGACCTAGAGGGATTCATCTGGGCAATGCGGAGTTGTGAAGACGCAAGGCCATTTCAGCAGTTCCACAAATGCCTCATGTTTTGATGTTTTAACTATCAACCTCTGAGGAGAGTTTAACAGTTGATATAAGTTATTACTACTGCTTGTTTAAGCCTTTGTTAATGAGTACTTCTGAATCTCTTGTGTTAAATTTACCTTTTATGTGGAGAAATAAATAGCTATCCCATACCTGCTTTACCCTGTACACTGAGTTCTTTCCTACTCTCCCTTTTTGGGAGGATATGAACCAAACCTAAGCTTTGAGTAATTTTCTGGATTGGGAGAATAAAGAATCAGAGAGATAAGAAAGAGCCTGACCCTTTTCTTTAGAGGCCAGGTTACCTCAGGACTAATGCATGGGTCCAGAGTTGAGAAGGGTCCCTAAACAGAGAGTGAAAGAACAACTGTCCCAGTCCATGGGGCCCAGCAGTTGTTCAGTTAGTGTTTTTGTCAATGTAATGTGGCAGGGATGGAGTGGGGAGAGAATCTGGGAGTTTGGGAAAGGGATGTCAGGGGCATTCTAGGATGGGAGAGGGGGGATGGGTCTCAATTCAGGCTGCCCTTAAAGTCACAATGCCCTCACTGCCTCCCAATTTGGGCTTTTCCCACTAACCCTTCTCTTTCCTTGTCGGAGACTACAGGGTCTGGGACTTGGATTTTCCCAGGCTTAGGTTGTGCTACTCCCATACAGTCAGTCTGTGGGCAACACTGAGCCTGAGGCCTACTTTCTTGTACCAACTGCCTCTGATCTCTCCAAGGAGTAGCTTTCCTCTTGAGCTTCAGGTCTTGAGGGCAATACCTCCATGGTCTTCACCCACACACACACCTTTTTTAGATTTTTCCCATACTCTCAGATCTCCAGGGAAAAAATTATTCTGCATCATCCTCTTCTACAAAGTCAACAGTCTATAAACAGCAGCCCTCAGATACAGAACCCTAAAAAAGGCTGTCTCAGAGGTACCAGTGAAGTGTGAGGGTAATTGTGCTCAGGAATAAATGTTCCGTGTTAAAAGGACCTTGTCTCCTTTGGAACCACACTTGGAAAAGAGGTACTGGGAGGAAGCCTAAGGTGGCTGCCTTTTGGGGGCTTCTAGGATGGTTTATAGAGCTGGAGGCTGTACTCAGAACTCCTGATGGATCCAGGGTTGATGCTAAAGGCTCTGCTCTTAGACCTGGACCTAGGAAGTTTAGGGAGCGCTCTTCCTATGACAAGGGACAAAGGCCAACTAGGAGCCTTGGCAAGTCTGGGGGGGAAGGTCTTGATTGGCCCCTGCTCAGGCCTTACAGAGGTTGTACTGATGCCCAGTTAATTGTCCCACCCATCACCACTCCAGCATGGTCTGAAGCCCCATGGAAGACCCCATTCCCAATGTCTGAATTCATTATAACTTCAATTTCATACTTTATTTCCAATGGCTGGGAGGGGTTTTTTTTTTGTTTGTTTCAGTATCTTTTTAAAAAAGAGAAAAATTTCACCTATTTCATCAAAAGCCCTTTTCTTATTGAGCCCACGGGGGCTTGAAGAGGAAGAGTGGAGCCCTTAGTCTAGCATTCTTCCTCCACCCCCACCACATGGTACAGACACCCAGCTACTATGCCAGGGTCACCACCATCTTCAACCATCGCCATCCCCCCCAAGCCCCAGTATCTCTCTGTACAAAAGAATTTTTAAAATGGAAGCTAAGACAATAATATACATTAGACACACACGCGCACACACACACACATGCACACACACATCCTCACTGAAAACAGTGACTGAAAAACAGCTGCACTTGGAAAGCACCTGGGAATGCATCTTCACCCCCTTGCTGGCTGGGAAAGCAGAGCACTGTGGCTGTGTGCTCCGTCTGCCCTTGGTCCTCAGCTCATGCCACAGAAGAGCAGGTCACCCGCCTCCAGTTCGGGGGTTTCCCCAAGTAGCTGCCTGAGGCCTGCGAGGAGGGTGGAGCACGTGAAGGGGCAACAGAGGGTGAAGCCAGAGGGGCACAGAAAGATTAGTACCAGCCTGGGTAGCAATCTTAGGAACAAGTTTCCTGGGCCAGTCCCCAATCCACCCCATGCCACCAGAATGCAAAAAATACAGAGCTGGAGCCTGAACAAAGGCCTAGCCAGTTTGTTAACGCCCTGCCCACACCACATACACACAGGCCCACAAATTTACACAGAAGTGTGAGTGTAGGCTCTCACACATGCGTTCCTACACCTATGCCCACTGGACAATTGTCAATGTGGGTTTCTGGAAGGGGGCCTCTATTTTTGGGATGCCATGTTGGTACAGGGGTCCCCAAATCCTGGTTACTACATTCCTGGTGGCCTGTACATGGATTAGAACTTGTGAGAATGGAGGGCCCTGGGCTGGGAGGGGCCTCAAGAAAGGTGCCAGTGAGAAGGGGAAGATTACAAAAGACAGCACCACTGACCCTAATTCTGCTACATTCTCCATCCCTAATCTTTCCATAACACATAGGGAAGGAACCATTTAGACAGCAGGCTTTCTCTCCCCTGAGACCCTCTTAACTTCTAACATTTAGTAAGAGGCAAAAGTTTTTTACCTTCTGTCAGCACAAGGGAATACTGAGACACTTCTAAGTTCTGGGCAACCCACCCAGGATTTGTAGGTGGGCTCTCCACTGCCCAGGGCCAGCCAGCTCTTCAACTGATTAGAACGCAAATTTGCTTTTTAAAAAACACAATACACTTTTGTGAAGGGTTCTCAGCCACCACCACCTCATCCCCCCAACAACTCGGAATCCCCTCAGGATTCCAAGGGTTTTCTAATTTAAAAAGGTGATGGTACCAGGACTGATATCTATGGTCCCTCAGGTTAGGGGCAGGGGGCCTTAGGACAGGCCCACTTCTTCTGGGTCTCTGCTTCCCCAGGGGCCTAGACCTCATTCCTCCAAGTAAGAGCCCCCCTGAATTTTCCCATCTGTTTTTTGTCCCAATAAAGATTTTTAAAAAATTATTTCCTAAATTTAAAAAAGAGACATGAAAAGACTCTGCCACAAGGGCTTGGGGGTGGGGTGGGGGGACAAACTTGTTTCTAAAGCAGGGAAGGGAGGGGGGTGGGCGAGGATAGGGCTGCAAAATATTTTTTTAAAAGTGCTTGGTAACTCAGCTCTGTTTTAAGTGTGTGTCTATATCTACATACAGATATACACACAGACACCCTTCATACATCTGTCCTCGCACACACACACAGACACATATATATGTGTGTGTCTGTGTGTGCCTGTGTGTATGTGTACATACACACACACACACACACACACATATATATATATACATATATATATATGTGTGTACTTTAAAAAGTTCTATGTGCTGTAATCTGGCCCGGTGGGTCATGACTGGAGGGGAGGGCGGGCACAGCTCGGGTGGCAGACGGGGCACTCGCTGTCCTCTGCACACAGCTCACACAGCACGGTGTGTTGGCACTGTAGCACCACCCGATGCTGCTCTTGACACTTGAGACACTTTGCAGGTGACTGCATCTGGAATACCACCTGAGGGCGAAGAGGAGCCAGTGTTCACAAAGGACCAAGGGAAAGGTGGCCTGCTCTTCATCATCTCCCCAGGGAGTGCCCTCTTCTCCAATATCAATAATGGGCTTTGATCATAGAGCACTTTAGGATTTACAAAGTGCTTTGTTAACACTGTTTCCTTTTAGTCTTAAGACAATCCTTTGAGGGTCCTGCGGGTGCCCATGGTCACATGGCTAATAAGCATTAGAGGCAAGATTCAATCCTAGCACTCTGTCAACTCGAGGTCTAGCACTCTATCCACTAAACCATAAAGATGCTAGTCCTCCCTCCAAGAAAAAAAATGAGGTTCAGGAGCCATAGCTTAGATTAGGGTGGTCCTTTCCCCGAGAACAGTTTGTTCCAGATGGAGGCAAAAGTGTTTGTGCTTTCTTTTCCTCCAATAGAAGGCAAACTCCTTGAGTGCAGGGCTGCCTCCCTTTTTGTCTTTACATTCCCAGGTCCAGCACAGTGCTGAGCATACCCCAATGAATGCATGCAGAATGAATGAATGAATGAGGGGGTAAGAGGCGCTCACCCCCACCCACCACCCCCAGCACGGCAGCAGGGAGTGGCCTGACGCCCTAGCATTCTGCCCAATACTCTGACTCCCAAGGGGGTTTTCAGAGGTACAAGCAAGACGGGTCTTGCAACCCTTTGGTCTTGGCTTTGGATGACTTGCCTTTGCCCCACTCTTTTTACCAGGATGCCCCAAGAATGCTGAGCTTCTTTGTGGTGAAGGATCCAGCTCAGTTACTCACATGGAGGAGGGCTGATCTGAGGAGGCTGGCCAACAGCTTGGCACAGCCCCTCCTGTGAGGGCCCAGGATGGGACTAGGGGAGACCAAGCCTGAGCCCCAGGTCATTAGGTCCCTTAGGGACCCTGAGCCCTGGGGAGGACCCTGGGCAGTGTTTAGGTCAGGTAGGTACAAAAGCTCTTGAAGACTGACAGGATTTTCTGGGCATGGAATCCCAGGGATGAGGTGAGGGTGGGTTCTCTCCCAGAACTGGCACTTCATTCTAAGTCTATAGGCGAAGAAACATGGACTTTTCTGGGGTAGAACAGGCTGGAATCAAGGGGGACAGAGGCAGCCAGTTAGCATAAATCACACAGTTGTGACAAGAAACAGTGTATATATTAGCCCTGACAATCCTAAAAGGGCTATCTAAATGAAAGCTATTATTAGAAAGGTAGTGTGAATAAGCACTAGACCTGGAATCAAGAGACACAGGTTCAAATCCTGGCTATGACATTTACAAGCTGTGTGACCTCAGGCATGGGATAACTTCTCCTTGCCTCAGTTTCCCCATCTGTAAAATGAGGATAATAAAGCTTACACAAGGTTGTTGTGAGAAGAGCACTTTGTAAATCTTAAAGTCTTATGTAAATATGAGTTATTTATTACTCTGTCCTGCTCTGCCCTTCCTTGACTGTACCCACAAACAATCACCAAAATTCTACCGGACTTGATGCTCCACCCAGTGTTATAGCATTGCAAGCCCTTGGCAGCAGGCTGGGCAGACAAAGGCCATCTGATAAAGCAAGAGACGCCCTGCCCAAGCCAAACAGGCACTACTACCAGGCTGCCAGGCAGGGTTTCCAAGGCCTGTGACTTCAGCCCCAGGGAGGTGTCAGCGATGAAAGTTTCCCTGAGGCCCCAAGGACACCTTGCCGCTCTCTGCCCCTCCCCCATCCTGTCTCAGGCCGAGCCCGGCTCTCCTGCCCCCATACCCCATCCTGCCCCAGCGGCTCCCCTACCTTTTCCACTCTCTCCAGGTTGGCCCTGAGCTGCTTCTGCAGGGAGTACAAGGTGGAGAGCGAGAGGGCCTCTAGGTCGGAGAAGGAGCACAGGGTCTGGGGGTCCTGCCCAGAATGCAGTTGCTCCAGCTCTTCTTGAAGTTTCTTCACCTGCACCTCCAGGGCATCCCGCTGCTCCCGGGCCAGCTCACACTCCATGCCGGCAGCACTGGCCCGCTCACTGGCCTCCTCGGCCTCTTTCTTCCAGGCATCGCAAGCCTGTGGGGGTCAGCACAGAGCCCACCCCGTTGGGCATCACCACAACCAAAACGGACAGCCTTCCCTCTCGCCTCTCCCCAGTGCACACTTGGGCTGTCGATTATTCGGCTGCCGGCCATACTTTCCACTTCCCACCCTTGTCTGACAAAGAGGGGGGAGCTGCTCATGCTGCCTATGGAAGCTATTCTGACGGAGACTCAACTTCCATCCAGCTGGCATCTCTGGGTGGCATATGAATAGAGCCCGAGCCCCAGAGGGTCCTCAAACGTTTGCATAAAGAGGGCTTAGAGCCGTAATCAGACCTAGAAGGGGCTTTAGAGATGGAGTCCAAATCCCGGCACCATGAGAACAGGAAAGAGGCTCAACATCCATGACCCACAGCCCCGTGGGACAGAAGTGGGGGGAGGTGGCCCGGGATCTCCTGGGCCTCTGCTGTATCCCCATACCTGTTTGGCTTGCTTCCATGACTCCTCCCACTGCTTGATGGTCCCATTGGCTTCATCCAGCTCTTGTCGGAGCCTGGCCAGCTCAGCAGCCCCTGGGCCCGACAGAAACGCTGGCGATGTGCCTGGGGAGAAGTTCCCAGAGGCAAAGTGCTCCCAGATACTGCTGTTCATTCCATTTAAACCTGCTTTAGGGCAAGAGGGTGTCTCGAGAGCAGCTCTCTCCCACTAGCCTAACAGTGAGGGCTCTAGGGGTACTACCGAGCTTCCTGGTGTGAGGTCTTTAATCTGCAGGTCTAATTATCAGTTAAGAGCACGGACTGAAGAACCCCTTCATGCAGTCTTATACTGAACCCTGGTAGGATTCAGACGGAAGAGACACACAGTCCCTGTCCTCAAGGGCCTCCCAGACTTATAGGTGGTGCCCACTCCACTCTAACAGGAATTCCTACTCTTGGGAAGATTATCTAAATCTGCTACAGAAGCCAAAAACCCCACTGGCCTTCCAGGTACTTCCAGTAAAGGGGGCAGGGGGAGGACAGGATGACAGGATTCCTTAGACAGTTAGTTCTCAGTTGGACAAGGGAAATATGATTCTCACTCTTTGGGAGTGCTCTGTCTGCTTAGGGAGTCACAATCCCCAACCTCATGGAGCTTCCAGTTTCATGGGACCACTAAAGTCCCCCATGTAAGAGGTCAGTCCCTCCACATGGTACACAGAATGACTGCACTCTTGCAGGAGATGCTGGGCACCCACTACAGGAGCTGCTATTGAGCAGAGGGAATTTACTAGGATACAAGCTCCATGAGGGAAGGGACTGGATTTTGTTTGCTTGTTTTTTATCTGTTTCCCTTTAAGGGAGAACTTGATAACTGCACTATTGCAAGTCCAGTAAGGAATTTAGCACACTTTCAATATCACCAACCTTCCTCCCCAGCCCACTCTGTTCAAACCCCAAATTCTAATAATTTTCCTCTATTTTCTAGCCCTCTAATGACACACCTGCGTGCTTGTCAGGTCTATACCTGACTGCAGATGAGCCAGTAGGTTCTGCTCAAACACAGAGAATCCATGTAGAGAAAGGCCAAACCATTAAGATTACTCTGCAAATTCATTCTCCCTTTAGGGCCCTTCTTTTGTCCAAGTGGTTTCTAGGGCCTTGGGCACAGGCTGTCTTGGGTCATTAGTTATCCTTCTAAGTGTGTCTTTCCATCTGGACTCCAGCACCCTGAGGGCACACACTCTTTGTGTATCTCCAGTGCCCCTCTAATGTTTGTCAATGCTGGGCTCTTCTTGGCTGACAGTGGAGTATGATGGTCTGTTAGCTGGTTGGGAATGACCCTGAATATTTCCATTGGAGTGGAAGGACAATTAGGCATGCCTATCTGCATACAGATGTTTGGGCCAGAACTTAGTTCATGGATTTTAGTTTCATCAATGTGGGTAGTCCTCCCACCAGTGAACCCATCTATAATTTATTAGATAGTCTCCCAGAACTGCCATGAATGAAAAAAATTCATCAACCTGGCAATGAAACTTTCTACCCTGAGGTAGACTAGTGCCCAGGTAAAAGACATAGTCTTTCAGTGAGCCACAAAACACAGGCAAATAGCCTGTCTTCTCCCATTCTGTCCTCTTGCAGTGTTAATTATTCACCATAGGGTTTGTCTTAAATTAAAAACTTGCAGAGCACAGGACCCGTGCTAGTATGATTTATTCTGTACAATACTGAGCAGAAAACACTAGCATTTATTATAGGCTTCCTGCAGGACACATCTTAGAGCTGTTCCTTGTCCCCTCTTACCTAATGATCCATGTGATGCTGATGTCCCCAGGAAAGTGTTTTCTGATTGGCTCAGATGGCCCTGGGGCTGCTGGAGGAAGTGTGAGGAAAGGCTGACAGGAGGGGAGGGAGAGGCAGAATGAAAGGAAGCCGAGCTGCCTAGGGAGCCAGGGATGTTCACAGGGGCAGAGCTCTGTAACAAACTGCCACCTATAAGAGAGGCCAAGGAAAGGGGAGCGGGGAGGGCAACAATGAAGAGAGGCAAGGAATCCCCTCATCCCACCCTGGGCCTGCTCGAAGCTAGAGAGCTTCTAGGAGGAGATACAACGCCCACCCACAGGAAGGTCTCAGTGTGTTAAGGCACTCCTTCTATGCAGAGGGCCATGGAGGGAGAGCCTGAGAAAGAAGGGCCTATGGAGAGATGCTGTCCTCCCTCCCCCAGTTCCAAGAGGAAAGATCAGGGCCCGGCAAAATTCACTGAAAGATGAACTTAAGAGCTAGAAGGCAGCTTAAGGTGAGATGGGACAAACCTCCTTAGAGCAGGCTTGGACACATTCCTAGAAATGGGACATTTGGAAAGAATGCCAGACTCAGGTCACTGCTACTCTGTGCCTGATTGAGAGGGTTCTCCTGGGCTCATGGGCATGTGCCCCAATGCCCTGTGGGGAGGTCTGGCCTGCCCCAGAGCTCAGCCCTGCTCTTTGGTGGTCAGCACATGCTCAGTGGCTTGGTACCAGCACTCCCCTTGCCCCTCGTAGAGATGTTTATTCCCCAAGTACCAATCATGATGCCACCTGGGTGAGGCACTGTGCTGCTGTCGAATGACTTTTCCAGGGCAGCTACTCCAAACTCATTCAGGTCCAAGTCATCAAGGGCAGACTCTGTTGGACAGAGTGACTCAGATTGCATGTTGTCCTCCTGCCATCTTTTGGGGTCAGCCATCCTCGGCCCTGCTACCTCTGGTCCTGGGAGCTCTGAGTGCCCACTGAACTAGGATACTGGGGTTCCTTGCTGCCTGATCTGTACCCTCTATCACGTTTCCCTTTTAGCTCCTGGAGGGCTGAGCCAAGGAAATAAAAAGAGCTCAGCCTTGAGGGTCTCCTAGGAAAAGCTGCCTACAAACTGGGGGTGACAGTTGTACTGCCTGCTACATTGAATCACTTTGAGGAAAGTGCTATGTAACTCTCAGAAGCACTATAAAAATGTGAAATATCAATATCATTATTATTGCAATAATAATTTTTTTGGAGGCAGCCTGTGATAAAGGGAGGAAGGCCAGCCTTGAGGTCAGGAAGGCCTGGATTCAAGTGCTCCCTCTGGCCCTACCTGGAACATGACAATGGGTAAGTCACTTAATATCTCCAAGGCCATAAATTACAGATGAGTTGTTGATCTCTATCGGTGGTGAGAGTTTCCATACTGGGAGGTTCCCATAGTGATGAAATCCCGACTCTGGACTACTACCAATAATAATGATGATAATAATGCTACAGGACAGGTAGCTGGTTTGGCTGTGCCAATGTCACAGCCAGATCTCTGTCTTGGTCCAGGGTAGGGAGTTAAGAACTAAGCTGTACATGCATCTCTTCCCAGAAGCCTAGATGCCATCTAATCCATCCCCCACCTCCACCCTAGCCATGGTCCCAGAAAAGAAGCCATTACCTATGACCGATTCCACTGTGTCACTAGTAGGGTAGAAGGGCAGGGCATTTGCATTCATGCCAGGGACACTGCTGGGGCCTGCGGGACTGGGAGGTGTGGCTGCCAAGCTGGAAGTGATACTAGAAGAGATGCTGGAGGTCAGGGGGCTGCCCACTGGGAGGATGCCCAGTATGTCCTGCAAGGAGAGAGTAAGGGATTGAAGAGGAGCCTGAAGGTGGGAGGTGCACACATCTCTACAATCAGGAGCTAAGGGAAAGGGAATTCCATTGTCCTCCAAGGCCTTAGATAGGCTCCTGCCTCCTCAAGATTTACTGAGCATCAGTTTGGAAGCTGCTAAGACCTTGGCCCCTTAGATAATCCCAGTCGCCAATGGGGCAAGAACAAAATGAGGGTGAGGGTTATGACCTTTCCTTTCCATTCTTTCATCTAAACTCGGGTTTTTGGGTCACACAACATAAGCCTACATCTGTCCTTGACCCAGCTTCCTCATTTTTCATTCTCTAATGTCCATCTGTTGGGAGATACACCTGGCTGGAAGGCAAGTGTTACCTGTTTGGGCTGAATCAGAGGCTGCTCCTGGCTCCTATGTTCCAGAGAATGGGGCTTTATTTTGGCCTATTGGGAGGAGAAAAGCAATGGCAAAGACAATAAGCCAAGTCAATAGACAAGTGCTCATCCCCTGAACCCTGACACACACAGAACCCTTTCTAACCTCTACTGACCTACCGAGTCATTAGCCGAGTGATCATGGGGAAACCAGTTACCTCTAGGTGTCTCAGGTCCCCTTAGTCTAAAATGAGGATAATACAATGAAAGAGGACACAGGAAGGAGTAACTGACATTATGTTGTCTAAATGTGGTATTTGTTTGTTTTGTTGATTATAAATGTAAATTTGATGGGTTTTTCTAGTGTTCAAAGTTAATAATAAACTGCTTATTTTAAAAAATTAAACGATAATAATATCTGCCCTACTGAACTCACAGGTTTTGAGAATCAAATGAGATCATGACTATGAAAATGTTTTGTGAACAATATAAGTGTACCAAATGGCCAAAAGTTAGGGACTGTAACACTAGCATTTCCCTCTCCTCTCAGGTTTTAGTCATCCTTGAGAGAGGGAATAAGATAGGATTCTCCCTAAGCTCAGATAGCTGTTTAGCTGTTATTCAGACCTAGGTTTTGTAATTCTCTAATGTACTTATCTAATGCACTATCATAGATTATTAATAAAAATGGATTCCATGAGGGCAGGGGCCTTGTATTACCCAAACTCATCTACTCCTGACTAACAAAGTCATTTAATAAGGGTATAGCCAGGGTATGCCCTTATTATATAGAGGGTATATACCCAGAAGGAGCCTGATCAAGGCTGAACTGCTAATAAGATTAAAGGGTAAGATCTTTGTTCCAGCACTGAAGCTGCCATGTTAGTTCGGTTCCATCAGTCCCAGTAGCTTCCTAGCAGGCCTTCTTGCTTTCCGTCTCTTCCTAACAGTGCCAGATTCATATTCTTGGCTCATAGGTTTTAATTGTGTCATGTCACTTCTCAAAAACCCTCAATTGCTCCTCACTGCCTATCAAATAAACACCAAATGCCATATCCTGACATTAAAGGCCCTTCAAAATCTGGCTCCAATCTATCTTACCAGCCTAAGCTGATACTACTGTCTTTCAAATAGTCTAGACTCCTGCCTAACTGGATTATTCCTAGATCCCCAATCTCCCAAACTTTCCAGTTTCTATGCTTTGCTTTTTTTGCTCATTATTTTTCCTATATTTGGAAGATACCCTACCCTTTCTCTCCCTAATCCCTCCACCCACCCCTAAATATATATGCCTGCTCACATCCTAACCATTCTTCAAGACCCAACTCAAGTGCCAACTCCTCCGTGCAACTTTTCCTACCTCCTCCAACTGGAATTGTTTTACCCCTCATCTGATCTCATATAAGCCTGATTCTATTTTTCAATTTATCTATGTGCCTCTTATCTTCCCCTACTGGACCCTGAACTCCTTCAGGGAAGAGATGCTAACTTATTCACATATTTGTGCTTGTGCCCAGCACAGGACACAGTATACACAGGTGCTTAAATGGTTATGGAATATATGCTGAATTTAGACAAATCTGGAGAATATGTACTCAGTTTTAAACAACAGTTCAGGTTCCCAGCCATTTTCCTCTACACAAGAGACAGTGGTTCTCTTGGTAATTATCAGGCACTGTCCTTCTGTCCCACCAGTCCTTACCTGGCATTTGAAGCTTTTTAGATATTCAGCTCCAACTTGGTCCTCCCTCTCAAAGCCAGGTGCCTTCTTGTAACTACCAGGTGCTGGGCTTGCCTCCCCAGGGAAGCTGATACCTTCTAGGTTCTGTGGCTTTCGGATAGTGCCCGGGGGAGAGCCACAGAGGTTAGATGGGCTACCCAGACTGCTGTTCCTACAAAGTATCTACAGGAAAAAGATAAGAAGGGTAAGGGAACAGGTCATATGGACATGACCAAAACTCTAGAGCAAAGGGTCCCTGCTTAGATGGAGGGAGCCATATGGGTCTTCTAGGCTGGAAGAGTGGGTTCTTCCTTTGCTCAAAGCTCTTGCCCACTTGGCTGGGTACAGCCTGTCCCCTCTCCAGGTTTCCACATCACAGACCTTCCACCTATCTAGGATGGCCATTTTCTCTTCCTGCCCTGATCCTGAAGGTTCCAGCTCTGTTTACTAAGGGGTGAGTGGGAGGGGAGGCTCTTGGTGAAGACTACTCGGCTTTACCAGAAAGGCTGTGTGTCAAGATTCAGGTACAGTGGAATGAACTGTCTCATCAAAACAAAAACACACTGACTTGGGGTTTAGGGGGGACTGCTGATATCATCTGTATAAGTGCATATCAAAGCCTTCTCCATCTTTCCTCCTCCCTCCCCTGAGGTCCCTTTAGGGAAGGTAAAATTCTAGTTCCATTTTTCAACTGCTATTGGGTACTAGTATCCCTTCCACTTTCCCTGATCCCATGCCCTCCACTCTTAAGCTTGCTCAAGGCCATGGCACATACATTACTAAGGTCTGGGGCATGAGGGCTGGAGGGGCTCACAGGCACCGAGTCCCCTGCTGCTGACGGCATGTACATCACACTGCCAGCCTGTGTGGGACTGGGCACAGCTGAAGAAGACTGAAAATCATCACCAAGCGGGGGCTCTGCAAGAGATGTGAGAGACAGAGGTATTACCCAGACCTCCCTACCCACCCAGAGGCTCTCCACAGTAGGATCTCCCCAAGGACGACAGAATCTCCAATCCAGCCCTTGATTCATCTATCTCAATCTGTGACCAGGAGGCTACATTTCTACCCATTCCTAACACCTACACCTGGAAGGTGGGGTAGGGTTAGTCTCTATGTCAAGAAATTTTCCTTCCCTCATTTATAGAGCTATCCTGAGCCATGCTCTTGGCTCCAACAAGCAAGGCAGCCTGGATGCTGGGAGAAGCCTCTAACAGCTTAAACTTCTCCAGTGCGGGTAGAAGCAGCAGCCCAAGCCCCAGGATGCACTACTCAGTGGCTTTGCACCGTCAGAATATGAAACCTTCTTTGGGGAGAGTAAAGATATCACCCTAACCACCACTGGCTAACAGGTCAGGGAAGACATGGTTCTGGTTCTTTGTCCTGCTGGGTTTACGTGACTGCAATCCAGCTTGGGTTAGCTAAGGCTGAGCCTGGAGAAGCCCAGGAGATCCCAACGGCCCTAAGCCAAACCAAACCAGGGTGTATGCAGCACATGAGGTGCTGCTGGGACCATTCTCCCCAGCTGCAGTCTTCGCAGTTAAAGGGGATGGGAATAGGGAGAGAGAGGCAAATCTCAAGAAACAATTGGCATAGCATACGTTCAACATGGGCAAAGGCGCAGAAAGGACCTCGGGGACAGCTGCCCGACTGCTGCATGTCGTTACACTTGGTGGACTTGTAGATCTAGAGAAGGCAAAATGGAAGCAGGGTTAAGGCTCTGGAGCAAGGGAGAGAGGAGGGAAGGAGGGAAGGAGGGGGAAGGAGGGAGAGGGAGAGAGGGGGAGAGAGAAGGGGAGAGGGGTAGAGAGAGAGGGAGGGGGGAGAGGGAGAAGGGAAAGGGGGAGAAGGGGAGAGGGAGAAAGGGGGAGGGGGGAAAGAGAGTGAGAGCGAGAGAGAGAGAGAGATAGAGAGAGAAAGAGAGAGAGAGAAGGCAAAGGTTGAACGGGGGCAGGATAAAGGAGACGGGCTTCACATTCTGCCCACTGGTCTCCAAGAGAAAGGAATCAGGCCAGGAGTCATCCCTCTGTGTAAGCCTTGCCTCACTAAGCTTGGGCATCACTATATTTCTCTATTCCTATCTTTACCCCCTCAATCTCTTCTGCGCCTCCTAAAGGCCTCTTCTACGACATCTACTCCACTTCTTACAAACACAGTTCAGGAACCATAGAGCAGATAACACGTTACCCCACTGCCTGAAATACTCTATTCAGAACAGCATGCCTGAGGCGTGCAGGTAGGTCCCCTCTGGAAGGGTTGGTCCAAAAGACTGATACCCTGCCTCCTCTTCTGGATTTGTTGGCAGAGTGGCTGCTAACTTGACTATTCTCAAAGGTTGGCCCTGGCTCAGTCATTCTGATGGGACAACCCCTCTAAGGTGGGGGGCAAAATCGTCAAATTTCATAGTTAGAAAGGACCTCAGAGGTAATGGAGTCTAACTAGAACCTGTAGCATTCATGACAAGGGGTCATGGAGCCCCTGGATCTTTTGTCACAGGGAACTCTCCAGCCCAGAGAGCAGGCCACTGCACTTTTACAGACAGCTCTGACTACTAGGATACTCCGCTATATCAGGTCTCAGTGTGTCCCACTGAAACTTCTATCTATCATTATTAGTTCTGCCCTCGGGATATAAGCAAAATCAGTATTTTCTCCATCCCTCTAAATATCTGAAGGTAGTCACCATGCTCCCCTCCTTCCTTCTCCAGGCTAAATGTACCCCCCAACACACACACACACACACACACACACCCTACCCCATTCCTTTAATCATATTACAAGATCCCCAGATCCCATAATAGTGGTTTGTAAATCTCTTCAACAACCTGATCACTTTCTCTACACAACTTGTCAATGTCCTTCCTAAAACATGGCACCCAAGACTGAAAACAACATTCCATTTTCCCTTTTTTTGGATCTCTTTGGGATACAGATCTAGTAGTGGGGTATGCACGGTTTTATAGCCCTTACGGCATGGTTCCAAATTGTTCTCCAGAATGCCTGGTGATCAGTTTACAACTCCACCAACAGTGCATTAGTGTCCCAGTTTTCTCACACTCCCTCCAACATTTCTCATTTTTCTTATCTGTCATTAGCCAATATGATAGGTATGAGGTAGTACTTCAGAGTGAAAACAACATTCCAGATATGTCAGACTATAGGAATCATAACTCTGAACTGGACACGACCCTTTCATACATGAAGCCTACAATCACTGTCCTGGCTACCATGTTGGTGTTCACACGAAGCTTGTGAGATAGGGAATCCTGAAGGCCTGTCTGGCCAGGTCTTCCCCATATTTAAGCTCCAGTTAGGGCTTTACATTTATCCCTATTAAAATGCATCTAATCAAACTTAACTCATGATTTCAGCAAGTCAAATTCTCTTTAAAAACCCCAATTCTGTCACTCAAAGCATTAACTACTATCCTTTCTCAGCTTTTTTGAAAGGCAAACTTCATATCCAGGTCTTTGGTGAGACCCCCTGTAAGAATATTGAACAGAATGGAGCCCAGGAAGGAGCAATGTGGCCCTCCATAGCTCTTCCTAGGAAGCTACCCATTCCATCCATTCAACACAGACTGTTGGGGCCTGGGGCTCAATGAATTCTGTATCCACCTAAGTGGAGAACATCTAGCCCACTTCTATACATCTCGTACAGGAGGAAAACCACTTTGTTCACAAAGATCAAGTGAATGGTTGAAATGAATTTAGCCAGTCATTTGATCAGTATGGATAATCCTTCTGGATAATTCAGGCCTGAGATAAAATCATGTAAACTTCTCTCCAGTCTTTAACCCTAATAATGTACTTCCTTCCAGCCAAATACCCTTCCCTTTGAGATGTGTGATCTTTCACTGCCTAACTTATGATGGTTCATAATTTATATTTCACTCTCTAAAGGTCCTTTAGTTACCTACCTACCTGAGTCAGTGTGTCAGTCTTAAAATATAAATTCCTTGAGGGCAGGAGCAGTATTTGTCTCTTTGTATGGTACCCAGCCCCATGCTGTGCAGCATTAAAAGCTCAATAAAGGTTTTGTGATACTATAATGATGATGATGAAAACCAGGAGGAGTTTGGTGCCTTTAACTTTGGGAGAAAAATATAGCCCAGGAGAGACATTTTATGATATCCAAAACCAGCAAATTCCTCCCCGCCAAAGTATTCTGGCCTTGAGACCCCACAGAACCCTCCCTAAAACCAGCAAGGAAGGTCCTAGGAGGAAGAAAGGGAGGGAGATATGCTGCCCTCGTACCTCCGGGTGGAACTGTTGCTCCGTTCGAGTATGACAGTACTGGCAGGCATCTCCATTTTCACATTTGCCAGGGTCGCCCCACTCATCCCCGTGTTTCACACTTGGGCAAGGGGAGGACCTGGGCCAACGAGAAGGAGACAGAGGGGACAATGAGCCTCTCTTTGGTGTGTGATGTGTGTGTGTGTGTGTGTGTGTGTGTGTGTGTGTATGCACGAACACGTGCACATGTGCTCATGTAAGCAGTGGTAACAGAGAGGAGAGAGTGTGATGCTTAGGAAACTCAACCACAATTTGGCACCCCTTGCCCTACCTTTAAAAGGAATCATGCAAAGGAATAGTGGCCCACAGGCCCACAGAAAATAACTGTGTAAGGGTGAGAACTACCTTTTCGCTCTTATTGTTGGTGGAAAATGTCTATTATTCTTATCTTACGCTTAAGAAATTTCAGATACTGAAAAATTATAAAAGGCTTTTTGGAAAACTACTTTCCTGGGGAGCTAGTGAGCAAGTTAGCAGAGAAAAGCTGGGGAAAGAAGTAGTTAGTCACCTAAGTGGGGAAAAGATGGGTTCAACAATGGGGTTCAGAGTGTGGGAGTGTCCTCAATTGTACAAAGGATCGAGGAATTAGAGGAACTGGAGGGAGGAGGGTAACCCAGAGGGCTGACGCATTGAAACAAGTCATATGAACAGGCTCCATGAATGACAGTGCCGCCCAAGAAAGCCATTCTGCTAGGAGGGGAGCTGGGACAAGATGCTGAGCTTCAGTCCAGATTATTACAGCTGGCTAGGGAATAAATATCTTTGGAATGAACTGGCCCAGACAGATAGAAACAGGCTAGACGTGAGATATGACTACCAGGACAGTGACTTCATGTTCAGTGTAAGTTGACCTGAAGTTCAGAGACTGAATCTCAGGGGCCAAATAGAGAAGTATCTTCCTCAATCTGGGTTCCTCAGTTCTGGAGGTCAGGAGGAATAGGAACAAGACTTAGGTACTCTGTAAACTGTGCCAACCAAGACAATCTGTGGCCACGCTATATTTACTGTGTTAATCAGTCACATCTGCTGTGTTACTCAGTTCCTTTAAAAAAAGACCATAAACCCAACCTTGGCTTGGTTAAACCAAAGGGAAAAGAGATTTTGTCCACACTTAGGTCAGGATAACTATGAGGAAATCAGAAAGAAGGGAGGCTATAGTTGATATAAAGGTGAAAACTCTAGACAAGGGAGATGAGAAAAAGTTGCTACTACTGATTCCTTCCCATCTGGGGTTCTCCTTTATAGTGGGCTTAAAATCAGACAATAAGAAAATAAGCTTTTGAAAATTAAAAACAGAACCACTCATTTTGGGTGTTCATGGTAACAATAACACTAAGAAAGACAATATTAAATGCAAAGAGATAGGAGACGTTCTCTAGGCTGATTGCACCATGGGCCTAGGAAAGGCAGAGCAGCTTAGAAGAGACAGTAAAGGAGGACGATGGAGGTCCTGGGGCTCAGCAGTTCCCACACAGTACAGATAGAGATGATCCTTCCACTTCTTTCTCCTGTAGTTGGGCCACTTCCCTCAGGGCAATCTGTATTCTATAGAAAAGGCCCCCTGCCCTACCACCACTCTACCCAGTAACATCCTGCCTTCTGTATCCAACCCCAAACTTGACCTCATGGGGAGAGCTAGCATGTGGTCTGCCTGGCTCTGGACACTGAAAGTTCCTCCCCAATGAAGCCTCCCTGTCATTGGCAGCCCTTCTCGATCCTCATTCCCCCTGCACCAGGTCCCTGATGGTTTTCCCTTGGCTTGGTGTTCCCCAAGGCCCCCACCCTCCCACAGAGGACACAGCTGCAGTCTCGGCAGCTAGGCTTAGCCAACCCCTGCTGGGTTTCTCCCTAGATGGTGAGACCTGTATTTATGTTTCCTGGGGCTCCGCCGTCTGTCTTTGCTGTTATGGTAGTACGGGCAGGCGTATCCCTGGCGACAGAGCCGAGGAGGCTTCTTGCACTGCTCAGTCTTGTAATTCCCTAAGACATAGGTTGTGTCTGCAAAGGAACAGAGGGCGGGGCTCAGTCAACCATGGGGACTGGGTCAAGAGTCTCACACTAGTGGCTACAGTGAAAAGGGTGGGACAGCTTCCCCAGAGGTGGCCTAGCAGATCTCTGGGAGACTGGCCTACTGAGCAGTATTCAAGGGCTCAGGCACTGCAGTTCCTACTCCCTGGGATTAATGTGAGAAGTGCAGGCCACTGGACAAATGTCTCCCTGTCCTCTGAAATCATGCCACCCTGGTGGAGGAATACAGCACCTGCCTTTGAGGAGTTTAAAGCTTAAAGAAGGAGACAATACACAAGGAAACATGTAAGAGAAACAAGTAAAAGACTGTAACTTATGGAAGGTGGGCAGAGCGAGATGTATGTTTGTCTGAACACCCATCCACACATTGGGCAATCCAGGAAGTCATCAGAATGAATTAGACCAGCCAGGGTACCTCGAGGTGTGCTCCAAATATTTTTAACAATGGGAAGGGGTGTGCTCTGGCAAAGAGGGTGAGGAGGTGGGAAACATTCTGGAATGTGGAAATGGTCCATGTGAAGACACAGACATGGCCATGGACAGATCATGCACTGGGGAAAAGTTCACAACTAGAAGAGAGGACCACAGAGAGAAGGCCACGCTTTGCTCTTCTGGCTCTTACCTTGCCACCGTGGCTCCTCACTGAGGATTTTCTCTATCATAGCGTGGCTTGCAGCCACAGCCGACTGACCCTCGATACTCCCCTCAGATGTAGCCTGACCATTCTGTAAGGCCTCCATTGCCTGGAGCTCCCTTGGAAGAGAAGAGAGAGGAGACAGAATGGGAGGTGTGTTGAGCATGAGATGTTGCAAAGACAGATGAGAACATGGTCACCACAGAAGGACACTAGATGATGACAAAGTCTACCCTCCTCCTCCTAACTCTCCCTTCACTTGCCCTCCACTGCAAGAAGGCACCCAGCTCATTCTGCAGAGCTCCCCTCCCTGCCCACCTCTGCTTGCCCAATTCAGTTCAGCCTTGTGCCTGCCCCACCTGATGTCATAGACAGGAGAGCGAAGGTCATGGGGCCCATGAGCAAAGGCGCAATGCAGGCCGTTTTTGGTGCAATTTCCTTTAGAATCAGTCTCATGGATGCAGATTCCAGTTTTGTAGTAGCGTAAGTGGTACCGTCGCTCGGTGTCCCCTGTGGTTCTGTGCAGGAACGGGCACCTGAAAACCAAGGAGAACATATCACCTTCTTTAACCAGACTCTGCCCTGTTCTACTAGACTCCTTTTCTTAAACTGATAAGGTGTCCCATTGACCCAGAGAGATTAAGTCTTTTTTCTCCTATGATTGCACAATAGAATTAGACTAATACTTAGTGTAAAAATTAGAGTAATACTTAGTGCCTCCTCAGTCCAGGGCTCTTTCTTACAAATCAACTTGTTACTTTTCCACCCCCCTGCTTGGTGGTAATGTTGCCTTGCTTCCCAAGTTTTGCAAAAGAATCAGAAATCAAAAGATAGAAAGGGAGCACAGCAAAGTTCCTGCTTAATTGTATACTGGTTCATGGTTTCTATTTGGCTCTCTGTTTTGTTCTTTACATGACTGTCTGAATTAGTGTCAGTTTCAGAATGTAAGTTTTCTGAGGGCAGGGGCAATATATCTTTTCTATGGCCCCCAGCCTCTTGCCATGCACCATCAAAAGTACAATAAATGCTCTGGGATAACGATGATAATGAAAGCTAGGATTACCTTGGTGCCTTTCAGCCTGCTCAGCAAGTCCCACTGAGTTTACCTGGTCCAGCAGGCCAACTACCTTGGCCTAAGTGGTAGGGGTAGAATTCTAAATATAGGGAGGAGGGTTGTAAAGCCAAAGTAACAGGACATGTACCCAGGGCCCTGTGTGATAATCTGCACTGTTGGTACTCTTCCCAGTAGGAAGGAGCAACAACAGCCACATGACCTTGGAAATGCTGATCCTTGGCCTATTATCCCAAAGATCTACCTGGAAGGCTTTGGAAACATCTGAACACAAGTCCTAGTTAATAAAATGTGGCTCCTCTGAGAGCCATTCCCAAGTTGCACAGAACACTTACTCATCTCCCTCTGGGCAGAGGCCTGTGGTCTCATCATACTTGGTGCAGTAGATGTCAGGGCTATAGTTGAAGGTGCCATCTCGGCGGCGGATGGACCTACGGCGACGCTGGTTAACAAAGTGCCAGTGGAAGCAGGTGTAGGGCCGGTGTTGGGTACATTTGTGTTGCACAAAGAGTGGGCACTGTTCCGTGCGAAACTCCTTTAGGTACCTAGAGACAGGGTACACAAGAGGTGGGGGAAGGGGAGAGGTTTTGGGGATGGGGACTCACAGGCTTTAGCCTCTTATGCTCTCTCTTTCTGCCCCCAAATTAAGCTCCACTTTACATTTAGGAGTCCAATATCAAACTCCTGAAGTTTTCAACCTCTGGCTTCAGCCCTGCTGGGACACAAGAAAGGGTCAGAGACCTGTGTCCAGACCTTCGTCCCAGACTTCTTGCCAGACTTCCAAGGCCCTTAAACTGGAGGGACACAGAATATATCCTCTCCTTGGGTCAAAGGGGAATAATAATTATAACAATCATAATATAGCAATTAAAGATTTTGCAAAGTGCTTTACACATAATATCTCATTTGATACTCAAAACAACTCTGTGAGGTAGGTGCATTCTCCCCATTTTATGCATGATGAAATAGGCTGAGAAATAAGTTAAATGACTTGCCCAAGGTCACACAGCTAGTAAGTATTTGAGGCAACACTGGAACTCAGGTTTTCAGGACTTACTGTCCCAGCAGCCAAGGGCTAACATTCCCAGCAGCAGATGCAGGCCTGCAAACTGACTTTGACTAGGCCTGTGATCCTGACTATCAATCTTCCCTGCTATGAAACAGGGAAGGGGTGATTTAAAGTTGCTAATAACCCACCAAAGAAATTAATTCTAGGGTCCAGGAGGATGTTAGGGTCACAAAATAGCCTCGGAACCAGGAGTCCAAGCTGAGCCCAGGAGACTCAGATTCTAAGCCTGGCATCGAAGTAATTCCATGGAGGGAAGGAGGTAGACTCTTACCTGATTTCCCTGTACATGAATGGAGGATCAGGGCGAGCTGCTCGGCCTCATTAGTATTTCAAAGTATAATTTATGAGCATGCTATGACAATGCCTGAATATGGTCCTTTCCCAATCCCCCTGGGATGCTTAACCACTCCCAAACTCTGCCTATTCCAAAGGCTTCTTCCAACCTCTGCCCCACTTTCAGTCCCAGCACCAGACCTAGGGACCCCATGGCTGGGAGAAACGATGTTTAGATCTGCTCTTGACTTTTCCTGACAAAGGAAAACACAGTCAAGGGCTTCTGAAAGGGAAACTGTTTCTGGTCTCCAGAAAGACTATGAGGAGCTGTGATCACAGAGTATGTGCTCTTCCTTTGGACTGCTACTGCTGTTAATTACAGGCTTGCCTGGCAGGACTCCCTGAAGAGATATAAAAGACAGGTAATTATCCAGGTAAGCCTGTAGGAGGACAGTTGCACATCTGACTTCCTTGCTTAACTTCCCTTTTGGATAGGGAGGGTGCTCTCCTTGCTGGCATACATCGCATGTACATCTATACAGGTATTTGGATATTGCCAACACTCTCTACCAGCCGCCCCCCTTTTGTGGCCTGCTCCCACAATTCATTTGGACACCTGCCCCACTTCTTGCTGCCCCTGCTGCCCCAGCTAAATTAGGAAGTATCATGGCTCACTCCTTCTCAACATCTCACCCTAGTGATGACCTCACTCTTTGATGTCATCCCCTCCCACGGTCTCCTTCAAACACACTTACCCCCATGGAGAAGGTGAACATCTAGTCTGTTTATGTTTAGTGTTTTTATTTTTGCTGACAATATATCCAGCAAATGTGTGTCCACATCAGGGCCTCTCTTAGATCGTAAGCTCCTACAGGGAACAATCTCCTAGAGGCCTAGGGAATTCTCTTAGCACAGCGCTATATGCAGTGTAATAGTTGTGGAATGGTAAAGGCTTTTAATGACGATGACTGCCAAAAGCTCTCAGTTTCCCTTCTCCTTGCCAGGCCTTATAGAGCCTTATAGAGACTTTCATAAAAGCTCCAGGGGCAGAAAGGCTTGACAGAACATTGAATCTTATTGCTAGCGGAAAGCTTAGAGATTGTCCAGTCTAAACCCCTGACTTTATGGATAAGGAAACTGAGGCCCACTTGCCCAAGATACTATAGCTAGTTAAGGGAAGAGCTACGACTACATTCCAGCTCCGATGACTCCTCCCTCAAGGTTCCTTCCACTATGCTCTTCACACCATTGATTCTCCTCTCAGAAGTTTCGTGGGAAAAAAGACCTTCAAGAAAAATGAAAGTCTGCTTCAGAAGATAATGTGGAACAGAGCAACTAATGACTTCTCTGTTTTGATCATCATGGGGGGTTCAAGAAGAAGCTGAAAATTAGTCTTGGATGGAGACTCTGGACCCATGTGGCAAGATCACACTAGCTTTGAGGCTTGGGACTTTTCATAAAATCACAACAGAATGTCAGAATTGGAAGGAACACCAAAGGTCATCCAGTTCAATCAGAATTTGAAGCATGAATCCCGATCTACAACACTGCCAACAAGGTCATCCAGCCTCTACTTGAATACTTCTTCGACAGGGAACTCATCTCCTGGAAAAGCTCGTTTTATCTTTGGCCTAATTATTAGGAAGTTCTTTATATCCAGCCTAAATAGGCTTCTCTTAGTTCTGCCCTCTGGGGCCAAACCAAACAAGTCTAATCCATCTTCTAAAGTGCCAACGTTCAAATATTTCAAGTTTCTTCCACCCAAGTCTTCTCCAGGCAAAAAATAATAAATTTATTCAACTAATACTCATTTAGGACACTTTCAAGAAACCTGATCAACCTGGTTACCTCCCTCTAGATCAACTCAGCTTAAAATGTGTTTCATGATTGCTTACTGGAAAGCATTTTTTAAATTCCTCACTCTGTAAGTACTAAGAGGAAGGTATAGGTCAGATTTTGTGAATGAGGAATTAAATGTCAAAGCTGGAGGCTATGAATACTAGTTTCAGAAATATCTATATCTGGCCTTAAATGACCTGATTTTTTAAAAGAAACTACACGTGAGTCTGAAATACTTTCTGGAATCAAACATTTTTCCTATGTCCTCTTGCATTTGTTATAGCTATAAGGAATATTAAAGTCTACTGAGTTTAATCTCCTCATTTTACAGTTGAGGAAACTGAGGCAGAGAGGACAAATGACTTGTCTAAGGTGTTTCTAGGCATGTTGATTCCTATGCTGTACACATCATTAAACTATACATCCTTAGGGTAGGGTTCTGTATGTACGGATCAGGCCCTGATGCAATATAGTTGGAAATATGTATCTGAAATAGGACAAAATTCAATTTAAGACACATTTATTAAGTGCCTACTATGCATAAGGTGGGAAGCAGTTCAGTGGAGTTGACAGAGGACTGGCCACAGAATCAGAACACTTGAGCATGAATCATTTAACCCCATCAGCAGCTCTTTAAGACCACTGGCTGATCTGCATCAGTAGAGAAAGTTTCCACACTGAGAGTTCTCCACCCAGGTGAATCATAGGTTCTGAGCTGGACATGCCACGGCAGTCAGTAATTCTTATACTGGTAAAGCAGTGAGACCACTGGCAAAATTATTCCACTGCCCTGGATCCTACACTCTGAAGTCATTCCCTTGGACCCCAATCCCTAGTCCTTCTATTTCTCTCATCACCTTAATGTGCCTGAATCTCCTTCTCTGCCCTTCATCTCCCTCTCTTCTCCCATTCCATTAGCCCTGTACTAGTTTTACTTCCCTCCTCCAACATCCTTAAGCCTTTTTCAAGAAGGCGCTGTATTTACGTACTAGTCCCACCTTCCTCTGTCCCCAGCCCTGGCTCCCAGCTGCCAAGCTGTCCTGGAATGTGTTATGACATCATGCTGGGACCACTACACATTCACGCTATTGATCCTTTGCACAACAATTCGTATTAGTTTTTGATTGTGACTCCTTGTTACACAGAAGCTGCTCCCAAACTCTTGCTTCCACCTAGCAAATAACCTGATATCTTAATACACTTAAAGGTCTGAGGCCATCCATCCTAAACTCCTGTCAGCTGCACTCATCCACACCTCAAAACTTCTGTTCACCTAGATCCTCTCAACTTTGACTCCAATCTTGAGTGTGAGATGGCCAACCTTCTTGTTGAGACTAACCCTTCCACTTGTGCCCAGGATCCCATCCTCTCTCTCATCCTCTGGGACATTATTGCATCACTCATTCCCTGCCCTATCTTCCTTCTTTCCCTCTCTGACTCCTTTCCCTCTCTGACTCCTTTCCCTGTACTTATAAACACACTCAGGTCTACCTGTCCTTAAAAAAGCCTCTTTCTCGGGCAGCTAGGTGGCACAGTAGATAGAGCACTGGCCCTGAAGTCAGGAAGACTTGAGTTCAAATCCAGTCTCAGACCAAACACTTGACACTTACTAGCTGGGACCCTGGGCAAGTCACTTAACCCCAAATGCCTAACCCAAAAAAAAAAAAAAAAAGCCTCTTCCTGACCCTGTTACTCCCTCTAGATATCATTCTAAATCTCTTCTCAACACTGATGAATTTCCATAATGACTCTATTTCTTCTTTGCAATGTGGTTCCCTTACCAATCTATTGATCTACTCTCCCTAAAATCTTCATTAATAAATTTTAAGGCCTTTTCTCAGTCCGTTCATCTTCCTGTAGCATTTGATGCCACTGACTACACACCACCTTTTCACTCTCTCCTCCCTTCTTTTTAGCATGCTACTGTCTCCTCTTTCTCCTCCTATTTGATTGACTTCTCATCCTTTCTTGGTTCATCTACACTTCACCAAACGTGAATGTTCCCCAAGGCTCTTCGCCTTTTTCTACATTCTCTCCTTTGAAAATCTTATCTGCTCCCAAGGCTTCAACTATCACTTATATGCCAATGATTACCAAATGTATATATTCTGACCAGAACTCCAGTCTTGTATTCTTAACCGCTTTCTTTTCTCTATTCTAAGTGTCTTTCAACCCATCCTCACTCAGCAAATTGGACGTACCACTTGAATCTCAAATTCAATATGTTCAAAACTCAATTAAATCTTCCTTCTAAAACCTTTCTTATCTCCCAGCTTCCTTACTGCTGCTAATAGCATCCTCTTCCTCTCAGCTTAGTCATCCAGCCCCAAAACCCCAGTCTTCTTTGATTCTTCTCTCTTCCTC